TACTACTAGTAAGGCACTTGTTACTAGTAGCGTGGCACTTGTTACTAGTAGCTTCTTGTTACTACCAGTCCTCCATCTTGCGAAGCTGTTCCTTCATGAGGCCTTCAGGAGGCTTTTCTTCAAGGCCAAGGCTCTCCTGCGCGACGGGAAGATGAAAAAGATGGCACAGTCTTGAGTTTCTCCTCTATCTGCGTCACTCACAACTGGGCATCAGTCCAGAAGTCGTCTTGGAAGCCTCATAGCGCTTCCTGGCAACTCATGAAAGAGTCCTGGGTCCCCTTCGCATGTCTCAAAATCAAGCCATCAATTGTGGGGTGCCTCATGAGGAGATGAACCATATTCCTTGGTCTCCCCTGTGCCTTTCCTCTTGTTCCCTTCCTCGCCTGTGCCAGATGTTAAGCCCACCAAAGGCCTTACCTCGGTGAGCTGCTGAAGGCACCGAAATCAGGGAAATGCCCAGACTCGGGACACCACCGAGACGTTCGGAGTCAGGTCTCTTTCGTCGCACGAACACAGGGAGAGTGTTCTGGGTTTCTGGCCATGCCGACTAAGAACTCCTCTGACATCAATCGCACCTAGAACGGAACTCCGCTCCGTCGATGTGGAGACACAATCCATCAAGTTCAATGAGACCACACGGTCGAACACCATTGACATACCGCGAAGGTCTTTTGCTACAGTGTTGGGGCTCCAGGTTTTGGCCTATCCCTATGTGAGTCTGAGTACATGAAAGCAACATCAGAATCTCAATGAAACTCATGACAAAGGTGTCTGCGCCTCCTCTGCTGAACAAAGTCCACACAATGAGCCTTTCCAAGGAGCATCGGCTGGCCAGCCACTTGGTGCCGCCAGAGGTGGCAGCCAAAAGCATCGCCGAAGCTTGGAATGAATCGACATCAGCTCATCCTCAGAGAAACGTGCCCCTTTGGCCAGCTCTTTGGGTCGTACTTCCCCGAGGATTCCACTGAACATGCCCCAAAGACCATCCCTGTCTGCTGGCGGCTGACCGTCTTGATCCTTTTCAGCCATGGCAGGGCTGACGGTTTCGCACACATAGCGAAGCAAAGCATGCGCGACAGTCACCACCGCCTTTGGGACGGGACCGTCCTCAGGTGCAGATGTGCTCCTTCCTGCTCCGTGTGCGCACGCGGAGGAATCTTCCCGGCGCTCCACTTCCAGGTGATGCAAGAAACCAAGTCTTTCACTTAACTCTTGGTAGCTCAGGTCACTTCGATACTGCAAAACAGCTCGGCATTCGGCAGATTGCCATCTTGCTTCCGGGAAGGGACCTTTGATGTCACCAGGACCGTAGAGTGCGAGTAACTTCTCAACCGCAGGGTCCAAGGCTTCTGCAGCCGACAACATGCTACCGCCAAGAGTGCTGATGAATGGAATGTGTTGTAAGGCCTCTGTACAAGAACTTTGGCCAGTTAATTCCATATCGCGCCAATGGTAAACAACCGCACGCATCAAAGCTTGACGTACCGATGGGTCCTTGGACTTGTTGGCTGCCCAGGGAAAAACATGCTTCAAAAGCAGTTCCGACCACTTCAATCGGGGAAGAGAAAGTTCTCGCAAAAGAGAGGAAACTGCCAAGTTTTCAGAAGCACTCAATGTTGCAAGCACCTTGTCTGGAATCTCTGTGCAGGTTCGCAAATCAACCTGCGCAGCGCGAAGTGCTGCTAGCACTTGTGGGCACGTCTCTGGCAAAACCCAGAAGTCCTGACTTTCCCCTGTTCCTGACAAGGAGACATGCTGATTTGATTGATTGAATCTGCATAGAATGGGCAAGCCTCGAAGCACCTCACATTTGCATTTCCAGCTTCCGTTCGATCCATCGACCTCACAGCTGCAGCCCTCTTTTTGAACTCGAGTCGCGACAAACAGCAAGGCACTCACAGCCTTTGGACTCAGCTCACGAGCAATGAGAGACATGTGCAGTGCCTGTGATGGGGTCATGGGTTTGGGCTGACATGCACAAAGGATCCTGGAAGCAAAATGCATGCTCCGAAGAAGTCCTTCAGGAGACGATGCATGAACACAGGTTCGCAGCTGCTTGGCATGATGTTGTGAGAGCCAGGTGGGTTCATAGATTGGTCTGCAGTGAAGGCGGGTTTGGAGAAGCTCCTGGACCAGTGCGAGCTTAGCAGGTTCTGAATCATCATCAGCTCCTCGGAGAGGCAAAGGCTCCGTCGGCTCACAAACACTTGCCTCTGCTTTCGCTCTTGTGTCACTTGTGGGTTGGCTGGGTGTTGCTGCACTCGCCTGCCCTCTTGGAGGCGGAGGAGGGGGGTGGCGGATGTGGATATCCCCCTTGGGCTTGGGAAACTGGAGGGCGGGACACAGCTGAGACCAACACCAACTTGTGAGGCTCCGGGATACGTACCAGATCAACATTCTCACCTACACTGGGAATCAAAGGCCAATGAACCATCTGGAAGAGATCCACCTCCTTTTCATCCAGCCATTTCCACATGGCCTGCAACCAGTCTTCCACCCATTCTGTGTAGTCACGCAGGGGGATGCGGGGGACAGGATTGTTCCACGTCTTCGGAAGGAGCATTTGCAGCGCCTTGACGAGCAAGGGAAATGTCACGAACTGACATTGGAAAGCCTTTTTGCCAAGGCTCGCCTTTGCTGTTTCCGCTTGACGCTCTTGCCTGGTCTCCTTGGTGTCCGAACTTCGGGCTTCGCCAGGCAAGCCGGCCACTGTTTGCCCTGCGTGCGCCAGTTGCTTGAATTTGGCCCAAAGTAACGGGCGCGCTTCAAACTTGGTGGCCAAGACCAGCTTTCGGCCGTCCTTGCTGGGGAAGAGCCGCCGCTCAAGGGGCGTTTGTGGAAAAAACACCGTGCTGCCCGACTCGGCAAAGGGATGTACCATCGTCTCATCCTCACACATGAGAAGAGGAACTCCGCGGAGGTCGGCCATCTCACCATCACTCACGGCAAATTCCAAGAGGTCCGCCACATCAGTTGGTGTGAGTTGACCAAAAAGATCCACCGCAGGTGTTCGGTTGAGGGCGTGAGACTGCATGCTACCCTCCGAGCGCAAGCGTTGTCGAAGCCAGGCGGGGGTCAGAATGGTCAAAGCTCCATTCGTTCCTGGACCGGCCTGGGAATGTATTAGTGACTCAAGCACTTTGACTGGTGCATCTACCAACTGGATTCCGCAGCGCAGCAAACATTCAACCACAGAGTCAAGTAATGCTGGCGCAACGTGCTCAGCTTCCTTGCCCGACGGCACAAAAATGCAGTCAGAGACCTTGACCCAGTAGGCTGGCGGTGCATCCATACGAGTCTGCTGCTTCCGATTGCTTGCAGGTGCAGCCACCGGCAGTGGGCATGACGCTGCTCCACTTGCCAGAAGCCTGGCATAGAAGGTCTGTGCAATTCGGTCTGCTGGGTTCCCCTGACTTCTTGTTCTGCTGTGCAACACGGGGAACAGCCAAAAGAAGTGCGAGGGAGGCATCTGATTTCGCTTCAGGGCCAAATCCTGCAAGCAGGCCATCAGTGCAGACCTTAGGTGCATCCACCGATGCAAAGCGATGCGTGGTTCCCGGCTCGAACTCGGACCGGGATGTGACAAACCGCATGAATCTCCCCAAGTGCGGAAGGAACAGTTTCGAGTCAGAAGGAACATGTGAAAACCGAAGCTCTCCGAAGTCCCGCTAGGTTTTTGTTCTTCGTTCGTTTCTTCCAAACCCATCTTCGATCTTCACTCCAGTCCCCTCAGGTAAACACCCGCAACTGAGCCAAAGGGCGGGATCAAGTCATCCAGGAGTTTGAAATTGTGCCGCACCAACTCCTGTTCCGACTCTCCAATCCGCTCGTCCAGCAACACGCTTCGCCGATCCTGGGCCATATTCAAGGGTGCATGCACATGCAATCGCAGTCCAAGATCTATGTTGCGTGGAAGTGGTAGAAAGCAAAAGACTCGTCCAACTTCATCATGAGACCAGGCCTCACCGGCCTCTGCATCGCGCAGTGGCACTGCCAAACATACACGCGAGCGAAAGCCATGCTGAGTTTGAGTGAAGAGATGATATTTCTTCGTGGCCGTGTCCTCCGCCGTGTCCTCGCTACAAAGAACCTCCAATTGCATGGAGACCGTGGTGCCACGACCAGAACTTCCGCACGTCACCAGGCTTGGTCTTTTGGTGAGCAATGCTCTGCCCAGAGACACTGAAAAGACGGTCTCTAAACGCACCGAGACAGCTGAGTCGGTGTCGCTCATCAGCCGAGACATGGAAATCTCCTGTACGTTCTGAAGAAAAAGAAGCCACTGAAAAGCCTCGGCTTTGAACTGCAGAGACAATGCTTTCACCATCTCCTCGGACACGATGATCTGTGAGATCTCACTTTTGGCAGCGGACTCTTTGGTCCGAAAGGGAATGCGAATCAGCGTCCCCTTAAAGGGGCTCGAAGATTCCTGGTAGGAAGAATGTGAATTCCGCGCAAGAAACTGAGCTTCTTTTTTATATACTATATACAGTGTGTGTATATATATATACACAAATTACATAGTATAGTTATAGTTCACAAAGGGACAACAAAATGAAACAAGTCCGATTGCACAGTCCACAAAAGAGCTGTGAATGCAAACGAGAGTCAAGATCACAACCTAGCAAGTTGTGGTAGGGCGCGAATTGATCGCGAAAGCGATCCAATACATTCACTTTCAAGAAACGGAGCTTGATACCAGGCTTTTGCGTTGAGGCCCCCATCTTACTAAGGTGGGACACATGAGGGTCCAGGAACAAGACCATCGAATCACTAAGAATGCTGGGGACATCAGTGAGATTGTACACTGAATTGAAGCCAAGACCAAAGCGTCCAATGCGCTCGGAGCTGCTCCTCTTTCCTCCAACACCAAGTCTGCAAATGGCCTCAAAGTCTTGTTCTGTAAACAATGCGTCGTTGTAGGCCCACAAGCAATTGGTCTGCCAAGCTGCCATTTCGGGGGAGAGAAGACTCTCTCTTCCCAATTTGCGGGCATCCCACACAAAGTGGACACGAGTTGCGCCCGCATCATCTGCATTCTGTACCATTTCCTTAAAAAGCCCAACATCAGCTGGATAGTCCTTAAGGAGATTCTTCAGCCGTGTCGTTAAAGGCTCTGACTGGCCAGCTGCTTCACACCAGTCATGCTGGTCTCTATCCTGAAGCTGCCGTACCAAATTGAACAAGCTCTCGTTGTCCAATTGCTGACCCTGGGCGGCAAATTGCGCCTGCAGTTCTTTCAGAAGCTCTTGCGTTTCTGTCGCCATAGTGGCAAGTCCGCAGGTGGTGCCTCTTGGACCAGGTCTTTTTCCGGGCGGGACTGCAATCTTTGTGCAGCGAACAAAAAGTTTGGTGGTGCAAGCACTCTCGCCCAACCCGCACCAAAAAGACTCTATGTTGTGCAGTGCTCGGGTGCTCAGGTGCTCGGGTGCGTGTGTTTGCTTTTTTAGCACTGGCACTGCTACTCTGCTACTAAAGTGGCTACTCCATGTAACGACTTTTAGTTGTGCTAGCGTTCTGAGATGCAAAGAAAATGGATGCGCGTTCTCTGTCTATCTGCCTTGGGGAATGGAGGTAAGATCTTGCATCCAGCTCATGTTGGATGGGCAACAACTGAACTTGTAAAAGTTGAAGCCAGCGTTCCAGCAAAGACTCCATGAATCAATGGGGGGGTTCTTTTCACTCGTCATTTGCTGAATGGTGTGATGTTGAGCTGAAAAGCCATGTCGGAGAGAAAAAACGAATTGATGCCAAGTAAAGAATCGCAAATTGGACGCTGTGGACACCCCCTCAATCAGTGCCATGGACCCCTCAATCACCTCAGAAGCGGCTTGAAGCTTTTTTCTACGACCATGGCTTTTCTCAGCGGCTCCTCTCATGACTTGTCCTGCCAAACGAAGTTTCGTGAGGACATTGCTTTCTCCCTTTTCCAGTACTGCCAGTTGCCAAAGGCACTGTATAGCCATGTATGAGGTTTTCACTCCGCAATTAGAGGACGTTCACCAGATTAAGCTAAAAATAGAGCCACAACACGGCGATCATCAAGTCGCCCTAAAATAGATGCGCTAATTCTCATGATGTTCCATCTCAGATCTTCGGTAGCAATCAACAAAAATCAAAAGTCAGCACATCTGCTGTCCTCAATGCTGAAGTATCTGCCTTTCTCATCATCACAGCCCGTCATCAGTGTCCTATTAGCATGGGAAATGTGTAAGTCTTCCATGGCATGTTGTTGGGATAGAATCTAACCTGTGCTTATGAGGTGGCTATGAGCCCTTGCGAGGTGTCTTAAAGCAGCTGGGACATGAAGTTGATGCGATCTTGATTTGAAAAGAACCTCACCAAGCGCAAGTCGCACAATCTCCTGTCAACTGGCGAAGTCTCAAGCGCATGGATCGGGACCGAGTGCATACCCATTTTCATAAATACGGGTGATCCTGGACCAGAAAAGGAGCAGTGCAGGCGCAACAACAAGCAAAGGGACGTGCTTGCTTGAACGATCTCCTATAGTCCCTGGTGCCGGAAGCATGGTCAACGTTTCCGCATGCTGAACATGTTGATGTGCATGTGCAAACTGGGCATGAACGACCCCTGCTCCTGTGGTTGAATCGAAAAGGCTCACATCACTCAAGCGCACATTGCTGTTGGCGGCTGCAATGTACCTCGCGAAACCCGTCTGCGCCGTTTGACTCTCGCATCGGTCTGCGCAGTCCGAATTCTCTCGCTGACGACTCTCGCGAAGCATCTCTCGCTTCGGTCACTTCTCTCCATTGACGAACGCGGCCGTGCCGAAGTCGGCGGAGCGCGGACCGAAGCCCATGCAGAAGACCTTCGGGGGGGGGGGTCGTTCTTCCAAAGAAGACCGACGGAAGCGTCTGCTGAAAAGGCCAAGGAGAAGTAGCCCGGCAGGTTGGCAAAAGCATGCCACAGCTACATTGGAAGCAGTGGGGAGGGAGTTGGCAAACAAGAGGTGAGGGGAGCCGCTAGCGGCTGGCCAGCTGAAATGTGTTTGCAGTGATACCCTGCCTCTTTGCCCATGCGCACATCCCAAAGTCTATGCCTCGTGGGCAACTTGCCAGGGCTGAGATAAACTCACAGCACCGTGTGCTGGCCAAGAGGTTTTTCATGGTTTTTCTTGTTGCAGTCATCGGTTGCAGACCAACAAAGACATGCAAGGTGGGACGACAGTGCATGACATGCACTCAATAAACCACCCACTGTGACCTCGCTGTCGTGACCCACAAAGACAGTGTTTGAAGAGCCGCTGCTCCCCACCTGCCGTCGTTCCCAGAAGATAGCAAGTAGCGGAGGCTGCGACCTGGGTTTTCGAGGCCCCAACAAACCGCACGATGTTGCACGCCGGAGCGACACACCAACCTGCCCAGTCTCTGACGTCATTTTCCCACTGAGCTCAAACTATTGAAGCCTTGATCTGGGTGTGTCTTGAGTTCGGGAGCCACCTAAAGACCCCGGGAAAATCAGGCCAAACCCCGTGGTTGGAGGGTATTCTAACATACATCGGGAATATATCTTGTGATCTCATTATGGGATTGTTTTCGCGCTTATAACCTGAACCAAACAAGCATGAAGCCCCTGGACATTGGCTCATGTGGCCCAGCGTTGCTCATTCGAAATCATTCGAGCTCATCCTGAGACACAGACTCCATCGAACTGACGTCACCGAAGAACCACTGTGGGCCTAAAAGAAAAACGTGGCGGAGCTGTTGCTCACGACAGAAGTGTCCAATGGATACTTTCCAACAGAGGTTGAAGAACCCTCTCCCTATATATTTGTCATTTTAAATAATCAATAATGTACTGTTTATAGGTACCCCAATCGTGTCCTTTCTTCTGTCTTGGTTGGGGAAAAAAGCGCATCTCTTTACGTTTGGAACTGGCGAATGCCGTCGTTGTCCGGACGCCTGGGGCAAAGCGTTCACGACGCTGTTGTTGACCGCATCCCAGAGTTTGATGGACCCATCCTCAGCGCGTCCGGCGTAGACCCGTCCGTCCCGCGTGCTCGGCAAACGCACCGGGGGTCAGTCGTCCTGCACGTTGGAGCGTAAACTGAGTGCGCCAACGGCAGAAGCTGTAGCCAAAATCTTTCCGTCACTGGTGCATCTCAGGTTATTGATTCCTGGAAAACATGCATCTTCGGATATCGTCCGCATCGCACAGATATACATCGGCGGTGTTTCGAATCACCGATGATCAGGCAAACGGTTCCGACCCAACCGGGATCACACGCGAATCGGTTCCGATGCATCCGATTCCTAACTCGACATCGAAATCTCCTGCTGAATGGTGCTGATCTTGGTGGGAGCTCGTGAAGCAGCTCAAGGTCTGCAGGTCATACATCCGCACGGCCTGCCCATCAAATTTTGGCTTTTGGCGCCGTCAGCGACGTCCAAAAGAAAAGCCGACCGAACTCCGATCGAAACCCCGACCGACACAGGGGATGTACCACAGCCTGGTGCGCCGTGCCGACGAAAAGGAAGTCACCACAGGGATGGATACCTGACGCGGAACCAACGCGTGGATATGGAGCGTCCCAAGCGCCGAACCACGGGTCTTGGTCGTCCAAGTGTTACTCTGAGCTTCGAACAAATGCTGTTGACAGCGTAAACATCTTGCAGCACTGAGAAAGCCTGTCGTCGATGCAGGAGGTGGTAGTCTGAGTGAACGAACATCTGGCTTCCGACACTCGGAGTCGCGAACGCTTTCTTTTTTCTTTGCAGTCAATGCACATTGTGCTAATCACCAAACCCTGGTGGTCTTCTTCGTTTCTCAATGTGCCGAACACCAAACCCGGTCGCCTTTTTGTGGCCAGGGGGTCTGGTCAGGTCAAAGATCTTCACTGCCTCAACGCTCGCGGCCCTTCTCGACGTCCCGACCGTGAACGGGCCGGTCGTCGGTGCCGACACTCGGTGTCGCCCCCCGGCCTTGTCCGAGGAGCCGGAAAAGAGTGTGGGGTTCGTGGGGTGGAAAGCTAAGCATGAAACACCTTGAATGTGGTCCTGGGCCCCAAGAATTTCATCTTTGGCAGCCAAGTACTGGAAGCAAACAAAACCACTCTCGAAATGGTCCACGAAATCTGTCCTGAAGAACACGGACGATCGGTTTCATGAGCTCCTGTGAGACTCAACTCCGGAGAGAAATGGTTTAATTGTGTTACAAAATCATTAATTCACATCATTTCACATCATTATTCGCGTCTGAATGAAGAATTAAAAACAAAACCGCCTGTCCTCTTCAGTCACACGCATGCGACCGACTGGTCCCTCAGTGCTCGCCGCGCAGACTCGCATTTTCGCCTCAGCATGTGGGCAAGCCCGGGTCGAAGGAAAAAAAACAATGCAGCTATATAAGTGCCATGTCCTATGTAAAGCATCTCAAGCAAGCCATATTGGAACAAGCATTGTCATTGTTGCTTCGGGTTCTTTGGGGTTCCAGGGTGATCTTGAGAGATCTTTTTGCTTTTTGATTGCGGAGCGCTAACAAGTCATCGAGCTAACAAGCAATGCTGAGGTGGGAACGGTGTCCAGAAGTTTGATGCTACCATCTGTGCAGCCTGTAGCACCTGGAAACAGGTGCGATCGCAGCAGGACGATCGCAGCAGGACGAATTGACCGATATCAGACGACGACGGGGTTTTCACGAAGATTCGCTGCGAAGCAAAAAAAAGCAGTTCCCAACAAAAGGTGCTGGACCTTCGTCCAAATCGCGCGCGTCGCGCCGACGCGAGCAGGCTCGGTCTGAAAGCCAAGGGGCAGAATCGCCCATCGGTCGAAAAGGCCACAGAACGACAGTGTGACTTGTGTGAAGCTGTGTACAGCAACCTGAGAAAACGATGTGCAAAAGGCACGGGTTGTCAAAAGCTGCTCTTGAAAAAGAAAAGCAATTGTTTGAGTTTGCCTGACTTCCGGAGGTTTCTTGCTAGGATCTGGAGTCTGAGAAGTACCTCTGTGTGCAGTGCTGAAAGTGGATCGGAATGGAGCATGCTTACAATGCTTACATCATTGATGAATCCTTTTTGTAAGAACCTCCCACCTGTTGGAATCGGCATTCCCTCAAGGTCGAGAACCTTCTCTTGTGGCCCAAGAGGGGGCACCTCGAATCAATCAAAACGGAGCGCCGTTCGACGAAGGACGCAGCGTCCTGACTGCGCACCGGAGTGCAGTGGAGCGGTTGCCACTCCCCCTGTGGTTGGTCACCAAAAGCCCATTTCAAGCCTCAAAGCACCAAGTCGACACATGTCCATTGTTCTTGGCCCAACCACAGAGGGTCCAGCTTTTCGTGTAGATATCCAAGAGCGCATCCTGAGACAGCAAGTGGAACGAAAAATGCACTGTCAATGAGTCAGTGCGAGCAACGATTGGAGCCAGAATTCGATCGAAAGCGATGGTCACCCGGTTCGTCCCCCCGAGTCCCAGGTGGTGCCTTCTCAACTTGATTGTTAGCATGAAGATGGAGCTGGGAAGTGAGAGCCTGGACCTCGGCCTCAAAGCCATCGTCCTCACCACGCACGAGTGACGCTTGAAAGGTGGGGACGAAAGGCGAAATGAAAGGCCTGTCTGGTCTCCAAACCGATTGGTTCTACATGTCCCGACCGACCTGCAGCTGGCGCAGCAGCAGCTCATAAAGTGCAACCTTCTGCGCCGGAAAGTGACCTGGAAAAGTTCCAAACGCTCGAAGTCACAGTTCAAAGGTTTCATGTTGAATCAGGGTTCCATATTGAAACAGGCGACCAAAGCACGGTCGGTTGACGAAGTGTTGGGCGTTTGTCGGAAAACTGCCACGCGAAGACGGCTACCATCCACTTGACACATTCATAACCACAAGGATGGCACCTTGATCAGCTGCGCCTGAAGCCCCTGCACCTCCGCCTTGTTGCACCTGAACCCCGCCGCACCCGTGCTCAGCCGTGTTCAGCCGACGCAGAAGCGAAGCGGAGAAGTCAGCGAGGCCGCACACCAAGGGCTACCGTGGGCTCAGCCAAGCCAAGCCCCGCATGGTGGGCCGCTGAAAACGCCTCGAAAAAAAAGGGCTCCGCCTCGGAACTCGGCTGCAACGATCCCTGCACCATCGGCCTCGAGAAGAGGGTCCGACTAAAAGTCCCCCCTGGATGGGTGGGAGACGGCCTGCGCTTGGTGCCATTCCTCTTCCAGTTTTACAAGTGTGTGTGTGTGTGTGTGTGCAAGTTCTCTTCTTTTTGGTCTGCCTTCATTTTGATGTCTGCATATTTCACGTTCGGTAGAAATGCATTTTGGATGAACGGTCTTCCATCTCGCAATCATACTTTCGTGAAGGAGAACCTACAAAGGGACGCGAGCGGGACCAACAAAGAGAGAGAGAGAGAGAGAGATCTAAAAAAAAGTTGGAGCGGGAGGAAAAGAAGTGACATCTGTCATGAACATGAGAAACTCTCTCAAGCCAAGCTAGGCCTAACCGTGGCTTCCACTGCCATCAACTCGGCCTCAGCCTGGTCAGATTCGTTGGGGAAGAGCTTCAGAGTGATCAACACAGTCAACTTGCGGGACCAAACGAATCTGCCTTACTGCTGGAATTGAGGCGCCAAAGCTAAAGCCATTGACCCTTTAACCAGGCTGACGAGTGGTGTGAACTTGCAATCGCTGTCGCTGTCTGGCTTTGGCAGTCATCCTTTGAGGGTGTCAATCTATGCTGGATGCATACATATGCGGTAGACTGGAGGTTGTCAGAACTAAACAACATGTGGGCGTTGTTGGGTCATCTTTCTGTTCAAATGTTTTTTTCGGGCATGAAAAAACAGCGTGAACAAAGAAAAAAGTCATGGCCCGGTCTTGGCATGGTTCTTGACACTTCAACATGCGTGTGCATTCTCTGCATGATTTTCACTTTAAGCTGGAGCCAATGGCAGGTGCAAGAGCGAAACCATCTCCCAAAAGAACTCGTTGGACTCGCAGGTGACACGGTGACTCTGTTTTTGGAAAAGGCCGCGCTTTCGTGGAACAGGCCGGCCGCGCGGAACACACACGTCGCCTTTTATAATCCACCTTGCTGCAGCTGCAACTGGGCAACCAGCTTTTCGGCCTCAAAAAGACGGGGCCAAACCCGACCAGCCGAGATCAAAATGGTCATTAACGGTTTCATACTGTATATATTATATATACTGTACTTGTATGAACTACAAATCATATGTATCTCATCATGTTAGTTTTGGGGGCAACTTTGCTGGATGTGTTGTCCAAGCTGATACCGAATTCAAATCATCCCAAAGCGTGTCGCTGCATGTCTAAGGCGAGGGCTGTCGAGGCTACATTGGCTGCAAAGAAAAGGTTGGATGTCGCAACGACTGTCTCCAGACCGCGGGGCCCGGGCCGTGCGGCGCCTCCAGGAAGCGGCGCCTCGTGTGACAAAGCCACTGAGCCTCCTGATGCTGAAGCAAACTCAATGACCAAGCGTAAATATTGGCCCACCATCGCGAGTCGAGGTATGCCAGCAGACAAGGATGGTCCCTGATGTTTGCTGCCAGTGCCTTCCAATTCGGCCGCAGTCGTCAGCAGCGTGAAGTGAAGACAAAGCAAGTGAAGCGAAGTTTCCAGGATAAAGAGCAAGTGGCGAAATCTCTTTTCAGTTCCATCGAAGTGTAACTGGTGGCCCTGATAAGTTTCGCTCATTCTCCCTACACTCTCCTTTGCACTTGCATCACCATCTGTGAACCTCAAACTTAGCAAGCTTGAAGCAGCAAAAACAAAGACAGCACACAAGACTCCAGCTCGAACTCTCGTCTCTGCAACCACCTCTTGCGACACACCAGGTAATCTACTCACATCAAAGCTAGAGATGGGAGGAGAACTGCCTGGTGCTTGGAGGCCTTGCATCCCTTGAATGCCCTGTGGCCCTTTGTATGCCAGGGCTTTGATCCGTCGCGTGAGACCATCGTGTCTCCACACTTGGAGAACATTGGAGCAAATCTTCAGCCTTGTCGGCTCAGAGGGGTGCATCCGTTCTGGCAGAGTCGTGGTGGAGTCAGACATGTCATCTTGGTGTGTGACGCATGCACTGACCATTTGAGTGGTCAGCCCTGGCAGAGCTGGATGAACCATGCCTTCCAGCTGCTGAAGCCTGGTGTAGTAAGCATCTGGAGTGGCTTGGCCAATTGTGCTCTTCACCCTCGCAGCAATGGACGCGTGCAGCAATGACCACAGCTCGGTGAAAAGGGAGACACACCTATAGCACAGTGCAACTTCTTCGTACTGACCGTCTGCAGATGCTTTTTCCATCGGATGACGACCACTCAGGGAGTGGGCCAGCCCATCGACGCATGAATCCTCAACTGACTGACCGTCCTCTGCTGATCTGCAAAAAACCAACATGGCATCAGGTCCAGAGCGACCCACACTCCCACCACTCCGTGCCGCCAAAGCAGACACCAAGGACAACGCTGAAACATGTCCACGTCGGGGTTCTGCAGACAGTGTCACAGGTAAACGAGTCACCCATTGTAAAACATCCAGCAAAGGCTGTAGGTTCTTTTCAAGCCATTGCAGAGTGCTTTGAAGAATCAAAGCATGAGTTGGTAGGACGCCCAACATGGAAACAAGGACTTGCATGATAGACACCAAAGCTGCTGGATGCGTGGTGTCCAAGGTATGTAACCCTGCTGGGGCAAGTCGCAAGCGACAGTTTTGCAGCATCTCCGGACGCAGTAGTGCGGAAAACCCTGCAGCTTCAAAGAAAGCACTGGCTGATTCAGGTGCTTGACAAAGAATGGTGGCAAGTGCTGCACTTTGAAATCTTGCATGTGACTCTCTTTGTGCTCCAATAATCTCAGTGAGTTGCTGCCAAAGCCGACCCGAAAAAACTCTTGAACGTTGGGTGGCTGGAACTCGGGTCATGAGCGCACACATGAGTGGCAGAGCAACTCCCTGGGCGCTTTCCTCCACGGTCTCCACCTGGAATTTACAGCCAAACTAAGGCTGGGAGGAAGTCTGGTTGATCTCAAATGAAAGGGATGTGGGCGTGTATTTCAATAGGGGTCTCCCCCAACCAACGGGTAGACTGGTCTATGTCCCTTCTTCAAGGGTCGTTGCCTGGGAGGTCTCCCTAGTTCAATACAGACCCGTGTCTCTTAAGGAACCCAACATGACACCTAGTGGCTCTTTGGTTTGCTTAAATTGTTGCCATTACGGGCAAAAAATAACGTGCAAACGTGCTTTTTTTGCCGGGCTATATTCGGGTTTTGGTCGGTTCTGGAAGTAAATGAATGCATTGCTTTTGCTCGGTTGTGGTCAGCTTCTGGAGATCGGGGGAGCTTCTGAGTGAGTGAAGCCTCTCCGACAGGAATGCAACAATCATGTGAGAGAAAGACAAGGGAATTAAATGGTGTCAAATAACATTTAGCTTGGGAGATGAGCAGCACAGTGAGAAGTCACTGGTTGCACTACAGGGTGGGGAAACAAGGAAACAAGGAAACAAGGATCGTCGGCAAGTGAAACTCGCCTATGACCGACCAATACTCATGTTGCATGGGTTGATTCACTGATTTCTTGCATCGGAAATGCCTCGCATCCTTAGAGTACACGCCTCAGTCTCAAAGGGTTCGAGTGCGATCGCTCGTCTCTTCCAAAAAGATTGCCATGGATTCCCTACATCATGCGGGCGTGTTTGCGCGCCACCCTCTTCTCCTGTTGTCCTTGCCCGCCTCAGCGACAGCAGCAGCCATCAATGAGGTCAACAACTTTGCAAGGTCTTCCAGGTCCTGCGTGGTGTGCAACGAGCAAAAAAATTTGTCTTGACGCACTACTGGGGTCCCTCATCAACTGTGCACTCGGTTAAAACATGTTAAAACAACATCTCAAAGTGGATGTCCAAAGCTTTGGCTTGCCTGCAGCTCCAGCTCTGCTGGTTGCAAACCTTGTGCAGCTTCCATTGCCTCTGGCCACATCAGCTAGGTTCAAAAGCATGAGCAAGGCTGTTTGGCAGCAACAAGCAGCTTGGCTGTCGACTGGATCAGGCAACATGCGCTGCAAAAGAAGTAGCGTCGCCTGAGGAAATAAATAATGCATCAGACTGAGCAACACTGCCTCCTCTCGCCTGGGCCGGGCCTCCTCCAAATTCCTGCGTGACTCGCGGGAGACGGCCGGCCGCATCAGAGCTCCACTGAGCAACCCGTAGACCCGTCGTACGAAAGCCAATGGCGGAGCCTGGCACCACGAGTGGTGTCGGTCGAGACATCGACCCCACGTCGATGCAAAGTTTACATCTGTTAAACATGGGTGTCTTTGTCCTGACTTGGAGAAAAAAGCTTGGAGAATGAAAGTCGACTCCTTTGTGTGCCTCTGATCGCTCCAACATGGCGGCCAAAAAAGCTGTTGCCAGGCCTCACCCATGATTCGTCATACACGCTCGATGAAAATTGGACTCGTGTCGGGCAGCAAAAGCTACAAGTGTTCCACCGACATCGGTGTGTTCCACCCAAAAGGTGCTTAGATGCGCTTAGTGACTTAGTAACTTAGTGTTTTGGGGTGACCCAACGAAAGCCGAGCTGACCGGCGTGTTCCCGACTCGAGCGAGCTCGCTCTCCGGGGTCCACATGGAAGAGTGAGTGAATAAACGGAAGAAAGGGGCGCCGCAAATCGGTCCCAAATAAGATACAGGGTAGTTACATTCACTAACCAGGTAGTTAAGATACTGGGTCTGAGCCTGACAGAAGCTCTAGTCTTCGCGGCGCTTCTGCTCCAGATTCTTCTGCTGCGATTGCAGGAAGCAGTGCTTCCAAGTGCGCTCGAGCAGCCTGGGATGTTTTGAAGCTTAGATCCACATGTGAACACCGAAAGCATCTGGCCTGTGCCCGGCAGTCGCTTGCAGAGGAAGCGTTCCCCATCGCTGGTGGCCGCCCAACCTGTCAGGACGGTGGCTGGCGTGGCCCACCGTTCGGAAAAGGCTCTGCTGGGTGTATCGTGTCTTAAAATAGGAAGACCTCCCAGGTGTTCCGACCACCTGGGTTTGCGGAAAACAGACCTGTCTACCCAAAGTGGGAAAAAAACAGGAATCTCTCTGACTCTTCCAACACACTCAACTGCATGGAAGATCGTGCAAACAGCACGATGGCACCAAATGGCAAAGCGCTGCTGAGGCGAAGGTCGCCAAAGATTTGCCTCGGTCGACGGAGGCACTGGAGCCGAGCTGTCTCCAAAAAGCGGAGAGGGGCTGAGCTCACTGGCAAGCTTGCTCTGTGTAGAAGGCAATACAAGCCTCAAAATCAGCTTGGAGACAAGTGATCGAAAACAACAGAGGAAACTCACCCAAACCACTAGTGTCACTAGACCTCAGGTTCCAACATATTCATTTCTGGATCCCAGCTGCTGCAAATCCTCTGTGAATCTGGAGCGATCACCTCACAAGGCCCCGCGCGTCACCCGTGCAACCCGTAGTAACCCGCGCCAGGCCCCGCGCCAGGCCCCGCGTCACCCGCGTAGCGCTGAAATCGGCTCCGACCGGCGGCGCCTTCGGATTCGGTGGCGGAGAGTTGGAAGCTCAAACCCGACAAGTGCAGCAAGACAAAGGGATCCTGGCACAGCGCGGTCGGACGTGGAAGGCAGGTTCCGCGGGGCGAGCAGGGAAGACGCGGTTAAGACGACGGACGCGGAGGGACGGATGCGTGGAAGACTGAAAAGGAAAGGTGCAGGGAAACGTCTCGCAAGTCTCAGAGGTAGAGGCACTCTCGAGTGCAGCTATCCTGAAGAAATGACTTCTATAAGAAATGAATGTAGATGCTTGCTCGGGATGTGCTTGCTGTGGTGCTTCTGTCGTCTTCTTGTTGTGCAAAACGACATGCTTCGTCCCGTCCAAAGGCTGCTTCGGTCCTGTAGCTCCAAGCTCCGCGTGAGGCCACCACCATCTTTGTCCGGCGCCATACACTGACATGTGGAAGCTCTCAGATGTTCCTGCCACGTGGAAGGCTTGGAAGGCTCTCCAAATCTCACAAAACGACATGAAAAAACACGGGATCTCCTGCATTGAATCCCGACCAAATAGAAGTGATCCCTGCCAAAACCAAGGTACAAACACTTGAAACACGTGAAAACCCATGGTTATTTCGATCCACACACTCAGCTCGCCTGCAGAGCTGCAGAACCGACCACCGCATCGATCACATCACAAGCATCTGCCAGCCGCAGAGCTGTGCCAACCAAGTAAGGCGTGGCTGTGTGCCTTGAGGGTCACACATTGGACCGGTCTAGTCGCACCGATGGTCATGCGTGGCATCGCAGGCGCCAAGAAAAAATAAATCCTGGAAAAAACGGCGAAAAAAAAAAGCCAAGATAGGTTTGAGGTGGGGTCCATGTGGTTTGGAAAAAAAGCCGCGCTTTGGCCTCAGGATCGGACGCCGACCAGCCTGCGTCTTGGGAAGAGACCAAGTCTGAGACCACCTCCTAAAGCAAGCTCCGAGATGGAAAAAACAACGGTTTTGGGAACAAGAAGCTACTAGGTAGGAGCAAAGGGCATCGCTACGAACGGAGCGATCGGACGCTACGAACGGGGCTCCTGGCCGTACTACGAACGGAACAAGGACGCTACGAACGGAGCGATCGGACGCTACGAACGGGGCTCCTGGCTGTACTACGAACGGAGCGATCGGACGCTACGCTGAAAGGAGTTTTGGGAGAAAAAGAACTCCTGGTCTCGGTGACTCCCTCTTGAGACATGAAAAAGAGTGGCGCCTGCAAATGCTCTGAGACGTTCATCTTCAAGTCCAGAAGCCTTCGAACGACTGGTTCAATGTGGACAACAATTCGAGCCACAAAGCAAGTGACGCGACCCGTTGAACCCACTTGCCACACATGAACGAGATCAAAGGATCTGAGGCGGGCATTGGCGGAAACGACATGACGTCATCGGGCCAAGGGGCTGTTGTCCAACAAGATCTGCTCTCTCCAGCTGTTTGTTTGGAGGTCGTCCAGCAGGCCACACCAATCGCATCTCCCAGGAACAGACCTGAGAAATCAGCTCGCGACACCCGCCGCGTGCGAGAACGGTCGTCGTCGTTTGGGGTGGCCGTTGCTCCGCACCTGCAGAATGAGGGCTGCCTCTGAGAGCAAGATCCGCCGAAGCATCGTGGACAGCGATGACCTCAAGACACACTTAGACTTAGACTTAGTTGTAGAACAAGAAGCTACTAGTGGCTCATGGCCTTACTACTAGGAGCAAGGATGCTACTAGGGGCTCCTGGCATCGCTACTAGGAGCATTCTTACTACTAGTAACAAGTTCTTGCCATTGTAGAAAGCGTGGAATATCACGGGATGAATTGCAGACGAACAGGCCACCCTGCCACGGTACAGCTAGGAGGTTTTTCAGTACCTTCAAGCAAACCGTAGAAACATCCAAGAACTCCAAGGCTCATCACTATCCTATGCCCGGCCTTGTATCGTGATGCCCATGCATGGCACACATAACGAAGAACAACATCTCGCAAGGCTGGTATGGCCTCCCACATTTTGGTGCTTGACTCTCCGTCTCACACAAAATGAAACGGCTGAGGCTGAGATCATGGTCGTGATTCATGATCCGAAAGAATGTATCCATTGCACCATATTGATGGATGGTTGCAAATCCTGTGCATTGCATGCATGTGTGGGGCTATTCGGCTATTGATGTGTGTTTAATCTCGTGCACGAATGTTCTGATGCTAATTGTTTGCAATGTCTATCCGGCCATCTGCATGAACGAAACCTTAGGGAATAGAGTTCGCACACCGTGCGCTTCTTTGAGAAGGTCTCACTGCCAAGGCACAAAAAGGCTCAGGACGATAGACAGGGAAGCTTCATAGGCTGTGTGGTTCTGGATGGCCTGCCAGACGTTGATGACCGATTGTTCCCAAACGCCAAACAGAATTCTCAGGCCTGCTGAATCTCTGGCGTTGCACTCTGCGGCTGCAAAGCCTTGCTGCTTGAAGGCCTCGCTCGGTCGCGAGACGCAGCCGGCACCGACACCGGTCGGGCACGGGTCGTAGCCACCGCACGCGGCGCCGGCGTCGCTCTGAGCCCAGGTCCTGGGACCACCGCTGTCCATGGAGGCCGGCAGGCTCGGTGGGTTCTCGAGCCTGGGGACGTCGCGTGGCTTCCGGGTCGGCAAAGGCGGTTAGTTGGGGCCACCCGAAGAATCGGAGGGGGCCAGGCCCCATGGATGGGATGAAATGGCATGGCCAGAAGAGAATCGGAGGATGTGAGTGCCAACCCGGGCAGACCGCAGACCAGGTGGAGGTGCACTCCACGTTTCAGCATGCTTTGGATGATTTCAGGGAGTGGGATGCCTTTTCCTCATGAGACGCGAGAGTAACACTGCATCTAAGACCTGTCAATGGCAAAAACAAATGACAAAAATGCTCCAGAATCCAAAATTGAGGCATTGACAAGAGCATCAAAGCATCCAAAACAGCAGGATTTCCGCTTCTGCTGGGGTCCATGTCGACCGATCCTTGCACAAACAGATCCAGTCAACGGACATAAATTCAACAGGGCAAACACTATCATCTATCATTTATATTAAGATCAAAGCCAGCCAAAGATCGTCCAGCAGGATCCAGGCCTAAAATATTCCACTTGCAAGAAATGCAAAGCCCTTTAAGCTGAACAACCTTGGCCACATGACCTAGAAGAAGTTGTGCTAGCTGTCGTGCTGCTCCAGAGCTTTCATCAGTGGTATCTGCAGACTTGTCGCTTGCCAGTGCGTTTGGATTGCAATGTGAGTCCGTGGACTAGGACAGAGTGAAAGAATGCGCGAATATCATTTAAGAAAGTCAATCACCCGCCTCCCAGCAACAGGACAAATAAGCGCAATGTCAACAAGCGGCTGGATTCCTCGTACAAAATTCTCAGGTAGCCAGTCCCCTCTCTCCACTGCCGGCCGCTTACAACCCCATGCCAAGGAGGGCACAGTAGCCAAAGCTGCAAATGGCAGCTGCACCATGTGCTCGTCATTCAGCGTGGCCATCATGGCAGCAGCACCCGCTGAGAGCCAATCCGTGGGAATGTCAAAGCCTGCGACGTCAGACTTGACTCGACGACTCGAAAACTTCATCCACCGGATCACCTCTTCCACTGAACCCTTCGTTCCAGTGTTCCGGACTTCATCCACCGAACCGCACCTCTCAAGTATGCAGCTCTGAAGGTGGCTGAGTCGGAGGAGGCACAGCCCCGCAAGGTGGCCACGCCGGCATCCGATCCTTCCGCCGAGGATCCACGGGCCCAAACGGCCATGTCCGCGGCCTGGTGGGGATGCATGTCCGCGGCCTGGGTTGACCTGGACCGTGGACCTTCGAAAAAGGAAACCATGCATCAAATCCAGGAAATCCCTCATCAACCTCTAGAATTATCCAAGATGTGTCTATCATTCTAAATCTCTATCAGGGATCTCAATCTAATTACCGGTCTTTTGTAGAGAAAGGCATGCGATGTCTGCTGCCAGAGGCCACAGCCTGAACCACGGAATCCTCCGCCAGCTGTTGCAAGAGGTCAACCTGGGCCGCGTCTTCTAGACGTCGCTGAAGCATCTGGTTTTGTTCAACGCCGCGCCGAGGACGAGGGACTTGACTCTTGATTCATTCAAAAAAACCAACAAGTCGTGGATTGTGAAACCTCTTCAAAGTGTTGGTATCTTGGTGTCCCTCAAAACCTTTGGAGAATCACCAAAGTGCTGGGTCGGACAAACAGTCAACCTCAAAGGCAGGGATTTGGAGGGGATTGGCTCGGGCGCTGGCTGAACGGCAGATTGGCAAGGAGGTCTCAAAGGAAGCCATGTCCAAATGGCTGAGGCCGTCTGGGGACGCATCGATCTCCATCGCCTGGCGATCGATGGGAGCGCGCCCGTGGGGCGGTTGGCGCGAAGACACGCCACGCCCCTCGGTGGTCTCACTTGGGGAGTCTACGCGGTTTTCCTGCAGGAAATCCTACCCCATGATGACTCGTCCTTAGGTTCTTGTGCATCTGCAAAAGATAGAAGTCACAATGGTTTCGCCGTCAGATTGCCGACCTCATGAGCGAAGCATGCTTCACTGTGCTTGTCCCAAGTGGTTCCTCCGTGGCAAGGCAGCGGAAAGAATTGGGTGGGGAGCAACATGAGTCATTCATCTGCAGAGGAGGATGGGAACAAAAAGATATGGAATGATGCAAACACATGCAAAGGTGGAGGGTAAGAGGTATGCAAAAGCACAAGAACTCTTCAAGTGACATAACAAGTCCGGCAAAAGAAAACCACGAAAACGAAAGCACGGCTTTCATGATGCCTTGAGACTTTGCTGCAGCTCCTACTTCTTCGGTGGCCTCCTCGGTATCCAGCCTTGGTGGAGACTCTCCAGTCTCAAGCCCTTGGTTCATAAATTTCAATGAGACCCCGGGCTGCACGATCTTGTCATGTATCGCTGTACTGATGGCTTGCAGTCGCCATGGCCTGGGAGTTGTTCAGATGGCGGGAGTCTTTCAGCTGCTGTTCTCTCCAGCTGCAGACAAGACACTCCAGCTGAAGCAGTCGCAACACCTGCCAAGTCCGGCAGGTGGAGTCCCAAGTCCGGTCGTGTTCCTTCGAACCATGCGACTCATGTTCCGGTCCCGGCTTCGAACTTCCGGTCCCGGCACCCACCGCGGTTCAACCCCATGGCGGGTGGGGCACCCTCTGCGGCTCACGGAAAGCGCATTGCATGAAGACATAAAGTGCCAATCGACCAACTCCATGATGTAGACCTGATCCCGGGAAAAAATGGGAAAAAAAACGTTCAGGTTTGGTTCTTCCATTCTTGGTGTTTTTTTCCTTTTTTGGGATCGGGTCTGATTGGCTGACAATCAGACGTTCTCCGTTCACCCTTCGTGGTTCACCCCTGAGGCCGCCGACGTGCACAAAGAAACTCCGAGAGTAAGGCCAGGTAGCTCGGGTTGTGGCGATGTCCACTTTGAGCCTGTTGGAGGTCCCCCCAGGTGCGCGGTGCGCCGCGGTGCGCGAAAACAGGAAGCAGACAAGGTGTTGATTGCGGGGGGGACGCGGTGTCCCAACAACCCGTTCGATCCATGCGCGGCCTGTTGCTGTGGAGTTAAAGCTGGTGTTTGGCTTGCTTGTCGTCTCTTGTTTTTGTTGGTGGTGTCCAGGTATGACACAGCTAGTTGATATACGGTAATGTATCCCACAAAAGATGTTTCTCCTGGTCACTCCAAACGAACGTGTAAAAACTGCTAAGGGCGGCACATCGAACGCTTCCGTCTCCATGCGTGGCCTGACTGAACCCGGTCCGTCTGCAGCTTCGAACCGCTGTGTTTCTTCAGTGCATGGCAGGCCTATGTGACCAGAAGGGGTTGTAGCTGCTGTACGAATTGCCGCGGCCTGAAGACAAAAGACTGCTTTCCCATGGTTGAGAGATGCTAAGAAGGAAAAGACAAGAAAGTGGGGGCCCGTCCAGCCTGCGCCAATATCAGGAGGTGGATATGTAAATGCAAACTCTGCCAACAGAAGTCGGTGAGTTGGCAAGACAGGTCCATCCTGCGGCAGGAACATCTTTCTGACTCAAGACTGCTCATCCACAGCCACAGATGCAGGCCCATCCTGAAGGCTTGCAGTGCCCCAACTGCCGGCTCGTTCAGATGCATGCTGCGCATGCAACCGGGAGAAGACGATATCCCGCTGCAGAAGGAGTCGGACCTTGAAGCGCTTAAGAAAGCCGAAAGAGCTGTGCTTTAAAATGGATTTTGAACATGTTTAAACGATGTCTTAATGAGTTGAAGCATGAGAAAAAAGCTGCGTGGTACCTGACGTTTGCCTGGCAAACTGCAAACGCATGGTTCGCTGAACAAGGTGAAAAAAATCGTTCACATCAATTCATACTGAACATGCATCAAGGTGCAGACTGAGGGCAAGAATTTTGGAGTCCCACCCCACCGGCTGAAAAAAGAAAAAAAAACGTCGGGTTGATCTCAGCCTCGCACTACATCCAAGCCATAGAGAGCACACTGTTCCATGTAGGGATACGCTGCACCTCCCTTTCGTCGATTTGCCAGCCTCGAGAAGTTCACCCTTCAGCTCCGCGCGATCTATCGCGGTCGGTCCATCAACGCGGTAGGTGCCGGACCCATCGACGCTGCGGCCCTGCAGAAGGGTCAGATTCAGCCTGTCAGAGAAAAGCCATGAAGGGTCAGATTTCCGATTTCTGCACGACTTTCCAGCAGATTCGACCATGTCTCAGATTCATCCAAAAACATGCCAACACCACACGCGGGCAAACACTGGAGAGTCCAGGCTCAGAAGGCACCTCGCGGGAACACTGGTCAGTCACACTTGCCCAAAAAAGAAGTCGACACATGTCCAACACCGGATGGACCCGATGGACCTGGTCGGGACCCTGTCTTAAGGACCCCCACCGAAAGGCATATGCCGTGGCATTTCCTGCAGCACATCGCCTGGGCGTCGCGCTCCGCTCCGCCGGGTCGACCCCCGACTCCTCGGGACTCCTCGGCCCGAGGCCCATAGACTTCGGCGGCCGTCGCCTCGCTGTCGCTGTAGGGCCTGGATCGTACGGGAGGGGACGGACGGTGAGGGGCCCGTTGAGACGCCATGGGCGTTGTCTCAGGAAGGAAGGTCGAACGGAAATGCTTGACCTTCGATGGATGCTGGAGCAAATCCGAGCAAACTACATGACAACCCAAGAACGGTTCTCCTTTTCAGGCTACTGGGAACCAAGTCTCGTCCAGCTGTTTTGAGATACATACTTCCCTGTCTGGGCCTGCCTCTTGCTCCCCCTTTCCCTCATTGGAGCTGAATTCTCAGCTTAAAAGAAGCTTTTGGCATCTTTTTGGCTGTGGATTCTTCCAAAAAAAACACGTCCTTTTGCCATGTCCACGTGCCATGTCCACGTCCGAATCTGCCCAGCTGAGGCTCGGGGTGACCGTCCCAGACCCCGAAAGGAGGCGCCTCACAATCAAGGTGTTCAAGGCCGCAGAGCTACTCATCGGCAAAGGTCCTCGCCTCAAGAAGGGGTTCAGATTATATTTTGGAATTAGTAGTTTATGTTTATTTAATCTGGTATGTTTTTTCTTGCTCTTGGCTGCTGTCTCAAAAAAAGGGAAAGGGAAAAGGAAAAAGAAAAAGGACAAGCAAAGGGCAAACAAATGGAAAAGGACAGGGAAAAGGAAAAGGACAAGGTTGCAATCATCTGGATAAAACCAATACCTTCTTACACCTGGTAGCTGTGCCTGGGACTTCGCATTCCTCTGATGTAACATCCACCCATCACAGCAGAACAAAGGCTGAAATGGTCAGCCGGGGTTGGCCAAAGCCACAACCAATGCAAGCACGATCGTTGCCAACTCTTGGATTCTTTAGTCAGAAAGTGCAGTGACCAGGATACAATAGAAGAGAACAACCATCATATCTTGATATGTCTTGGGTATATCACGTTCCGTGCAACAGTGAAAAAGCCCAAGGCCAACGCAAGCCACCAAAAGCCAACCGAAGCCACCAAAAGTCAACAGAAACCACAAATAGCCAACAAAAGCCAAAAGCCAACACAAGCCACCAAAAGCAACCGAAGCCACCAACAGAAGCCACCAAAAGCCAAAAGCCAACAGAAGCCAAAAGCCAACACAAGCCACCAAAAGTCAACAGAAACCACCAAAAGCAAAGGCAAAAGCTATCAAAACATAATATAATACCAAATTAATGAAAAAAAGAAAAACAATCCCAAAACACATATACCCTCCCTCAAGAAGCCGCACGGATCTCTTCTTCCGTTTCTCAAGCTGAGAACACTCTATGGCCGCGAGTCGACGTTTTCATGACCAAGGTCCAGGCGGTGAATTCACTCCAATTCTGTGATGATTTCAGGGAGTGTTTTGTGGAGTTTTGGAGCTCACCAGGTCTTAGCTAGGTGAGCTGGCTTTTGTTGCCAAGCAAACAAGCTGACTAGATCAGAGACCGTTTCAATGTCAAAGGCAAACCAGAGACTCCAACAGTACAAGCCGTAGCCATCGCAGAGTCAAAGCCTTGATTCGATGGCAAAGTGCAAGTGCTTTCTCATGACAGCACACATCCAGCGATTGATCTGTCGAGAACCGTACTGCCAGTCGCCAATACCGAGCACTGCTGAAAGCAGATGGCTCGGCCAAAGTCTTCAATAGCACCTGCAACTCTAGAATCACTCGAAGAAAGCTATTGCATCCAATTCTTGACTGAAGCAAAGCTTGGAAGATCATGGAACGTCTGTTCTCATTCTTGGAAAATCTGTTCTCATTGACGGTCCGAGCCGGGCCTGGTGTATCACCACATGTGTGAAGGGCTGCAAGTCCAAGGCATAGCGGCCTTTGTTGATGGGCACCGCCTGCAGGAACCCCGCGCTGGGGAACCGTGGTCCGTCGCCCGTGTCGTGGTCCGCCCCATTTCGGGTTCGATCTCGGCTCCCAGTTGAAAAGCACTCATGATCTCGGGGTTGATCTTGAACCGAGTCTGGGCCATTCGAGCAGGCCATCGGTGTTTTTGTTGTTGCACCTAGCAGGTCATCGATCTGGTTGCCCTGGTGAAGGCCGAAGGTTCGATCTGGACACACGGTTCGCCCGTGGCCCCCATGGGCCCCCCCGGTGCGCCGTTCCCGGGCCTGTAGAAATCGGAGGGTGCAGGCGAGCAATTCAATTGCTACCGCCCCGTCCTGGGGTGGCGACTTGTTTCTTTCGACGGTCCAGTGGTGGAGTCGCCCAAGGCCTCTTGACTGTGAGTGTCTGTTTCGGGGAACCAGGCACCATTGAGGCTCTGACGCAGGCTTTGGGCTGCTCTAGGAAGGGCACCAGGCTTGGCACTGCTGCCAGAACTGAGGATAGGATCATCCTGCTCACCTGCCCAAATAGGAAGGCTACGGAGTCATGGATTTCAAACCAAGCGAGGGTCAAGGAGGGACCCCTAACGCGAGGCGACATCCCAGCTTGCCTCCCCTCCTCGGCTTTGAAGGCCCTCTAAGGCTCGGACTTGCGGGGGCGGCAAATCCAAGTTTCCGAGCCTCAAAGACATGCGGGCGGTGGGCCAAGCCACAGGTTCTGGACTCCTGGACCTTTAAGGTTGCTCAAAGCTTCAGAAGAGGCCAAGCAGATTGGCCAAGTTTTGAAAAGCAAAACGGATGGAATCTTGGGCATTGCTGAGTCTTCCACGCTCCAAGGCATGCAGCTTTAATGGAAGGTTCCGGGTGTGTTGTGAGCAGCTCAACCTGAAGAGAAACTATGTCTTTCAGCCTTTCAGTGGCCCACATAAAGGCCCCGCACCTCTACAGTTGTATTTCAGGCTCCAAAAGAATAAAGCAGTTTGCGTAATCCGATGTTTACCAAATTTGCCTGGTCTGTCTACCTTTTGACTCACTGTCAACCAAAAGACCCGCTTTTTCCTCGTTCTCGTCGCTCCACTCCGAGTCTCATGGGATACCTCACCTCATGACCTCTGTGACCTCATGGTGACCTCCACAGGTCATTCGTGTCGCCCAGGCGCCAAGAGGTTTCCAATATTTTCCGCACGTCCCCATGGATCGCCCATCGATGAGGCCATGCCTTGCAAACTCAGAGGTCCGCGTGGTGCCCGTGCTGAGGAGAGGCGAATGGATGGATTTTGACGCCGCCCATGCCGGGTGCACCGTATTCACGACCCGACCAAGGTCTTTTGGTTCTCAAGAGGTGGGAAGGATTCTCGAGATGTCCAGTTCGAGATGTTCCACATGGGGGATCTAGCCGAATCTAGCCTAAGATTCCGAGCTCAAACCCATAGGGTTTTGAGGGTGCAGACCCCTGACACAAGGATTCTTAGGGCAGGACCCTACGATCCTAGGATCTTCGCAACACGCTGTCGCTTCCAGCAACGATCAGCGAGCCTGAGTTGAGGCTTTGAGCGATCGGCTGCACTGTTGGCTGGACAACCTCAGCATGACTTTCATGAGGAAAAAAGGGCGGAATATTTTTCACCGTCCTCCGGCGAACTTCAGTCTTGGGCGAGGAGTCTGCTTCCACAGGCACCCGAAACCAATCGACCTGGCCAATTGTTTTACGGTGAGGAGACATGTCCCGAAAGCAGATTTTGATGTGGGCTAAAGCCTTCAAACAAGTCTATTCCCAATTGGTGGTTCGGGTGTTCCCAAAACGGATAGTTACACCAACGCTGTCTTCTGTATGCAAAAGCTTGGTCGGGTTAAAAGGAAGTGTGCAAATCAATTTGTCAGGAGAACTTGACAAGAATCTTTCAAAAAGAGCACAGGTATGACAAGAGGGCAAGCCAGGAGGACTCAGGAGGACATTCCGCTCTCAATCAAAGTGTGAGGTAGAAACTCTGTGACAAGGGCGAACTGGAGATTGAAGCAGTTCGAGGAAGAAACATGCAGACATTGTAATTGGGCTGAAGAACGATATCGAAATCTGCGCAGACTAGTCGTGAAAAGATCAAGGACACACGTGACACAGAACGAAGAAGGAAGCGGTCGACGGTGGAAGTTGAGATCGTCAACGGTACGGAGGGGACGGTGAAGTTCCAACCACAGTCGGTTTGAAGAATGTCGGTCGGTAACACGTTGAAGCCCGGCTTCATCCCTTCAGACCATGGCGTGGAGAACAAACTCGCCAGAATGACAAAGTGCAAGGGTCACTGCATCAGAAGCAGAGAAGGAAGATCCCCCATGCGGGGGTGGCGCTCGCGCCTGGGCTGAAAACCACGCGTGTTAACGCTCCAGGCCACGCAAAAAGCCTCTCCTGCTGCATGAGGGCATCCAAGACAAAGCTCCAGTTGAACCACTGGTTGCTGTGTGACCTGGTTATCAGGTAGAAATGAAAAGAGAAGACACAACAGACATCAACAGACCCAAGAAAACAAACTGAGTGCAACACAGAATCTTTTGGCACACGAGGCTTGCGTTTTGCAAAGACCTGCTTAGCTGCTGTGTTGCTCACGGAACAAAGAGCGACTCATCGAACAAAAGTGTTCACTCAGTGCAAGGTGTTTAGCGGGCCCTCGAGAGCAAATGGTCGCCACCAGGTCCAGAATCTCCGCATAGAGCATTGTGTTATCCTCTCATCAAACAGCTGGGTGAGGTCTGGTCTCTCTCCAAGCTGGAATGGCTATAAACCAGCTGGCAACACATGGCGTCCAGCACCAGGAACCCTGGAGTCCTCCAGACGCGACGAAAAAGACCCCGCAAAAGGAAGCACCGCGCGGCGTTTGGGTCCGAAACGCGCACCGCGCGTTTTGGTCTGTGCGGTTTGGGCGTCAAAAGGGTCTGCAGCACCTGAAGTGATCCCCCAGGGGCCAAGACATTGAAGGCATTGCCATTTCCTGACCAACTCGCCGTGGATTGCGAGGTGGCTTGAGTCGAAAATGCCACTACCCAATGCCATGAGTCATGACCATGGTGTTCCTTTTCGATGTATGTCCAGAGTCCAGCCCCACCACAAAACCGCCCCGGAACAGCACTGCAACTCGGAAGTACCCGACTTCGCCAACAAGAGTAGGCCGACGAGTCAATTCAAAACATGTCAGAATGTTCAATGACCGCTCAAAGATTGATATAGGAGTCACTAGAAAATAATCAGTGCACATAAGCTTCTCTCTATCACAGGCCTTACCTTTTAGGGACACATTCCATTCTGTCTTGCCCTGCATATGATTCATTGAAAAAAGAGTTTCTAAATATACTTCTTGCAGTTCCACACTCAAGTGATTGAAACAACAATGAGCCCAAGGAGACGGACTTGATACAACTTTGCATCCCTGTTGAGCAGATTTTACTTCTGTGTGCCCTACAAGTCATTATTTGCTGACACGGTGAATTGAAAGTGTCGAGGTGGATCTTCATGAACCATGAGCATGACAGAGTTTGAGAGCCCCAAAAGCTCCAGCCTCCGGTCGGGGCCAGGACATTGAAGCCACCTTCTGTCAAGTGTGCCAAACTACGGCACGGCGGTAGAAAAGCAAAACGGTGGCGCTTAAGAGCCCAGCGATCTCCCTCAGCACCAGAGCTCCTTTGCGTTCGTCACCCGTCACGACAAGAGAAACAAAAAAAAAACAGCCCCAAATGGAATCCATGTACGTGAGCTTTCAAAAGGAAAGGCAACAAATGGCCGTAGGACCAGCTAGCCTAAGGCGGCCTAAGGGGCTCAGGCCAGCACCACGGGTTGAAGGCTCCCGAGGATTGACGGTGTGACCTAGGAGAAGGAGAACACAGTGTTTTCGCTGCCGACCAGGCCGGAGCGGCGGGAGGGTCTCTTAGGTCTGGACAAATGAAACGAATCCGTGCATTGTAACGCCACGTCGCGGAAGGCTTCGCAGGCTTGAGGATGAACCCGGCACAAGCGATTCCTGGCAGGAAGGAGGGGGTCTGTCTGTCCATTCTCAGGTCAAACCTTGCCCTAAGAGTGCGACCTAAGGATCTAAGAACCAAGCAGCACTTGGAGCGCAGAGATCTGTAAAGAATCTGCGGCAAGCAAGCGCATTGACACAGCTTGCCTCGGCGGCTTCCACTCGCACCCTTTTCCCGACCGGCTTCGAAAACTGCTTCGACAACCTCCGACTGCTCGGCCCCGCGACGCTTCAAGCTTCTTGATCGCCGTCCAGCGTCTTCCCACCTACAAGCCAAGGTTGTGATCAAGCTGTAGGGAAATGGACTAAAGGGTTTTCAGAGGAGATGGCACTGGCACCCCAAGGGTCTCTTTTAGATGCATTCATTCAGCATGGCCACGTCGCTTGGCAAACCACTATTGAGATTCTGGCAGGAAGCAAGGCCCGCTGCAGAAGCTCATTCAGGCAGCGCAACACCAGCGCACCAGAGCCTCAGCATGTAGCAACTGCTTTCAATGTTCTACAGCGAAAATGGTTCGCCAATTAAGATAGTATACCTGGTTCTTCAAAGTGACCTTTTGATAACCTGGTTGGTTCGGTCACGAACAAGCCTCCGAGTAGGGTCACGAAAAGGAACCTTCAAAAGGTCAGGAACTGAAGAAGCTGGTAGGTGTACCAGGTGTACATGTTTTTTTTCTCTAGAATCTAGAATCTGACCCTGGCTTCAATGCGAATTTTGAGGACCCCGGCACGTGTCTGGCACAGCAACACCTGACATCAGAACCTGGCTGAGAGCTTCAGGTAAGAAAGCGAGCGTCAAGTTAGATTTCACGAATGCTACTCATGGACTTTGCCAATCCTTGTCTTTTCTCTTCTCTCCCATGTTCCCTGTTTTCCTCCCTTTTCCCCTTTTCCTTGTTTTTTTCCCTTTTCGTCCTCGCACACTGCGCCTCTTGCAGCAAAAAGTGGAAAATGTGCCATCGAACGTATCCTCCCCGAAGCGCATGATCCTCAGCCCCGACTCCCTTCAAGACCCCGCCCGAGCGACGAGAAGCACGACCAGCACGGTAGGTTCATGTTGTTGCCAGGAGACATCTTCCAGAAGGACGCCGCTGATGGCAAAGCAAAGAAATTGGCCTTAGCTTTCGAATGCAACGTTTTAAAGGTTTGAGACGGCAGAGCAAGAAAAGCATCAAAAAAACTGCTTCCCATCAGCACTCAGTCCAGGGCCTAGCTGGCTTTCTTCATTCCAATAGCTACCTGCTCGCAGCTTCTGACCTGAAGACAAAGGGCAGGCACATTGCCCATGTATTGACTTGACACGTGAAAAGCAACACATGTTGCCCGAGAAATGCTTAACTGGTGATAGTGTAGAAGTGGCAGGTTCATTCTTACCTGGTGAGTGGGCTACGACAAATAAGATGCAAAATCTTCTCTCAGAAGCTTCCAGCGTCTGTGGCTCAAAAGAAAGATCTCCTGGTTGGTTGAGAGACTACGAACCCCAGACGAGCAAGGATTTGTTCATGTGGTGTTTCACAATGAGATAGATCGCAATCTGGTCTGAGGATTGGTCATGTCCTGCTCTTGAAGAGATGTGCTCACTTGGTTTGCTGATCTGCGCTAATGCGCTTGATATGTTTCGATCGTTCGTCTGTCCCAAGGGCAAAAGAACGCAGGTCACACCTTTCTTTGGTTTCTGCATTTTTTGCCAAAGGGGATGACCTTGGTGGCGCTTTCTATTTGGGTTTGGTGATTCTGACTTTGGAAGATTGTCTCGGCTAACTCGGTTCCTTTGTTTTGCTAAAGGCACTCAGCCACAAACATCAGATACATGCCCTTTTCCAAAGACATGAATTATCTGCCCATGTGATGTCATCACGTGTCATTGGCTTGGGTTGGTGGTCAGAGAGCCTGTGTCTTGAGCCTTTGTCATTGGCGTTCCGGATTCCTGTCTTGGACTGCGCCACAAAAAGAACGGGCGTTCCGTCACGGCGTTCGCCTACATGGCCTTCATTTCGTGTTCGTCCCGACATGCCCGGCTCCGACAGCCCACAGCGCAGTCAGAGTGAGTGGTGCCATTTCGCTTCGGGGAGTCCAAGCAGCGACCGGAGCCATGGAGCCATGATGTTCCGCTGAACGAAGGACACGTTGCTTCGCAAGTCTGAACACGTTGCTGTCACGTTCCGGGACGTCTCTGTTCCTCTGACCGACGAGGAAGCCTGGTACCGACCATCTGTATGAGAGCGAGTTGCATTTCAATGTTTGGTATCGGGTTTGTATGTCGATGTCTTAGCAACAATCCTCGGCTGGTCCTCCGCAACATCCTCGGGTCTGTTCTTCCGCACGTCGGTTCGGGTTTGGAGAACTCGTGCTGGGTCGTGCTGGGTCGAGCTGGGTGGACCTGCCCAATCACCACCAGACTGGGTTCTTCGACCAAAGGATCCGGAAAGCAGGTTCCCGTCGGTCGCAGAGAGTTCCTGGTGACGCAACGGAGAGTTGTTTAAGAACTGGTAGCTGCGGCAACAGACAAGAAAGAACTGCTGTGGATGCACCACATGAGTCTGGGAATGAAGGGTTTGTTGTTCCAGGAAAAAAAAAGGAAAAGCAAGCATCCCTTCTGGTTCCATGCCTAGCCATGGCCTATCCTTGGAACACATGTTCCATCTGCGGTGTCGAACCGGGAAAATCTCCTGCAGCCGAATCTTCGAAGGGAGCACATCCTCCCGCAGCTTGGCTGGGTCGAGCTTCAATTCACCCTGCGCAGCTCGGCGGGTGACGTGCCGCTCGTTGGCTTGGGTAAAGAAAAGCCGCACAGTTCAGAGATATTCAGAATATGTCAGAATCACATCTATCCAGGTAACATGTACATGTCAACACTCATAGCTGCGTTTTCAGGGTGCAGCCTGTGTGTAGCACATGCAGATCAGCACCAAGCAAAGCCTAAGAATCGCTGAAGACAGCCACCATGTGTCACCCATCTCGTTGGTCCAAAAAGGAACGGTGTGGTTATGGCTGAGGAGTACACTTGATGCTTACGTCATTGTGCTCCTCACAAATCATCCAAAACATCGGCTTCCGGCCTCTGTCCGGTTTGAAAGATGGCATCTCCTCGCGTAGGACCAGGTCCAGGTCAGACACCGTGAAACCTTGCCCAATCGGAGCATGCTGTGAAGTCACCTGAGAGAAACTCACTGAGTTCGGACGTCGACTCCAACGGCCGTTTGACCAAACCGTTGGACTGAGGCGGCCCACCACATGAGGAAGCAAAGAGAGCACTAGCTCCGCCTCCTCCAGAGTCGCCTGGAAAGCGGTAAAGTACGCCAGCAGGGTCTCCACCTCACAGCGACAAGAAATGACATCAACGACCGCTGAATCCGACTTCACCGCCGAAGACCAAGGTTCCAGCGAGAAGCTGGATCATTGTTCCAGCATGTAGCAAAAACACCTGATCCTTGGCTGAACCCATTCACTCCACGATTCTTCCGCTGAACCAGAAGACGCAGCGAAGCGCTATCCACTCCAGCTCCAGCTCAGTGGCTCCAGCTCGCTCTCCCGTCAGGTCGCGCAGGAGCAAGCCAAGAGCTTCGAAGAGACCAGCAATACACCGCTTTCCTGGAAAAACGAAGAAAAAAAAGAACACCAAACAGTGCCCGAAATTCTGGCAGGAGGCATTTGTCCGGTGTCTCTTTCCTCTTTCTCCCGCCTCCTAGGAGACCAAAGAAAGCCACGCTCGTCCTCTGGGGAGCATGACGAGCCTCCAATTTGGGTCGCTTACGGCGACCAAATCGTCGAAGACGATTCCGGGGTCCCGGACCAATCCCTGACTCATGTCGTGCAGGCACAGTGCCTCGACATGAAACGACCCCCAAAACGTGTGTTGTCTATATTTCTTTATATATGATGTGTGTGCCCGTGTAGTTTTTGTTGTTCTCGAAACGATGTGTTTTGGGTGTGTCTAGGTGTCTTTTTTGTGTTGTTGTGTTTTTTTTGCGAAACGATCGACCTTAGCCCTACCTGGAAATGGCATTCGCGGTAGTAGATCGCCGCACATTTGCGAGACACCTGCAAAAAGAGGCACGGAAAAAACCAGCATCCATTCAAAAAGGAAGCATCGGATAAGCTGCAGAGGGAACAGAATCAGTAGTCTCGCAGTAGTCTCGCGGAAAAAGAATGCATGGGCCTCCTGTAGTCCAACACCCAAACCTAAGGCTCGCTCCACTAGCCTTACAGCGCATCTCAAAACGCAAAAAAGGTTTACTAGTAGCAAAGACGCTACTAGTAACAAGGGCAACGCTACTAGTAACAAGGGCAAGACGGCCCAAGAGGAACAATCAAGGGCCCAGCGCGCAGCAATCGCTCTGGTGCAATCGGAGTGTTCGACTGACCTCCCAGGCAGCGCAGTGATTTTTTACAAATCTGTCTGAAATGTCCGAAATCAATTCGGTGTACTGCAAACATGTCAGCAGGAAATCTCACCAGCAAGATTTGAGGACTGTCCATCTATTGAAAACTCAATGAAGTTTATGCACTCGGACTGGGATCAACTGGAAGACAAAGGGCGGGCACTGTGCTCTTTTGCTAGAGAAGCTTAAACAAGCATACCATTTCCGGGCAAAGAAAAGACACCCTACTGCCTCATCCACAATCTTCACCAAAGGCTCTGTCGCCAGTCTGGGCCTATCGTCTCTCCAAGCGGTGGCGGTCACTCCGTGCGAGTTGGACCACGAACTCCCCACCTTTCCGCCATGGCGTATCTGGCCAGGCTTGGCAGGTCCATGGTGTCCTGGGGCACAGCAGGGCGAAGGAAAAGCGTTCAGAATGCCCGGCAGCCACCGGAACAAGCCGGAGCAAGCACAGTCCTCCCGGCATCGAAAGGTAAAGGGCTTGGACAAAGCCTTAAATGTGGAAAGATGGAAGCGAATGAGCTGCGAACTGACCATTATATGAACAAATCTGTGAAGGTGTCTGAGTCTGAGTGCTTGAAGTGTGAACTAACTTGATGTTGTCCCAAAGGAACTGTGGGCTCATTGACCCAAAGCTACGACACCCGACGGGACAGCCTCTTGGAAGCAAACGTGTGGGCTTTCTCTCAGTATCACGCATCTTTGCATCTTCGAAACTGCTCAAAGGCCTGACATCCAGATTGGAAGAGAGATACTTGGGCCTGAATTGAATCCAAAGCGCCTGATTATTCAGCACCTTTGGTAAACAGCACCTTTTTCTTCACCCTTTCACCGCCATTTCACCGCTCTCGAGCTCAAGACTCACAGCTCTCTCGGAGAAAACGCCTCTTGTTCTGGTACATGATGCCCACTGATCAGCTGTGCGACAAGTCTGTGCAAGTCCTCATCACTCAGGGCCACAAGGTGGTCAGTCCATGTTTGTGCATGTAAATCGAGCACATTTGACCTCTGCTTTGACGCGAGAATACCCTGTAACTCTGGTAGCAACAGGCTCTGTTCCTGTCATCCAAACACTCTTTTCACTGCATGATTCAACACAGGGCAGCAGCCAGGCAACACCTGCCTGACGCCACATCCATCCCAGGCACTTGGGCGTCAAACATAGCCATCATATGTCCATCAAGGACACCGTATCCAGTGGTCGGTGATCCAAAAATCAACTTCCATGTTAGAGAGAGAGAGAGACCCCCCCTGGCTGCCCAATGGGCTTTGCTCTATGTTTCTTCCAGGGAGTCGAACCGGGGGTCTCCCTTGAAAATCTCACACGCACCCATGTGCGAGGGCCAAACATGCAAAGAAAATGGAGAATGCAAACTTGTGATGGGCATTGGTTTTTTCTTGATCTTCCGTCACTTGAGTCACTTGACCCCTCCTCAAAGGTTTCAGCTTCAAAGGCTGCCATGGCCAAAGGTGTCCAGCTGGCAGCATTGAGAGTTCTCTTGGTTACTTCATGGAGGGAAATGGCTGGATTCGCTCCAATCTTGAGGCTGTCCAACGACAAGCAATAACTATATATAGTATCCGGTTCATCGAGCCTCAGATCGCCAGAGTTGTCGGTGGTGGAACTCATGCTTCAAAAAATAAAAGAAAAAGGTGGATATTGGTGGATTTTTTTCACATTGATTGTATGCTTTATGCGTGCTTCATGCGTGCTTCTTATGTACTTCATGCGTGCTTCACGCGAGCTTCATGCATGCTTCGGCTGCTCCCATTCATCACAAGAATTTTGCATTGACCACAGTTGCACAGCAACTTTCACCCTCCCAAACCAATGCTTGCGTCCTTTTGCCTCAAGTCTTTCCTTCTCCAAATCCGTTCAGCTGGCGCCGCTCCGCTCCGCTCGGCACGTTGGCCAAGCAGCTGGCACCGGTCGGCCGCCGGCCTCGCTCGTCCGACCCCCCCCGAGCCGTGGAGGCCATCGCTACGAACGGAACGACCGAAGCTTCGGATTCCGAACGGTCGAGTGAAACCACGCATCGTGAACGATGCCGCCTCTGAAGGAGGCTTGAAGGACCATGGTCTTTCCTCATGTCTCCTTGGGCCAAAGACCATGTGGCCATGCGTTTTGCTAGAGATGAATGGAAAAAGCCTTGCAGATCAACTTGGGAGACTGCCTCTTCACGTTCGACACCTAAAATCGGACACAGCAGAGAAAGGCTGCAGAGTGTCATCATGGAGACAATCTGAATCAAGCGCCGTTGTCTGCAGGGTCAAGGTCCTTTTTCCCATCTTCCTGGCAGGCAGGCAAGAATCTGAGTTAAAGCTGCTGAATGGCAAACCGTTGATAAATCGCTGCAATGCAGTCTCCTCTGGTTCCACTGGGGTAGCCTCAGCCTCGGCCACTCCTGCATCCTTGGCCTCCGCATCCTCTTCTGCATCTTCAACTTCTCTCTCAGCTGCCTCTGGTTCTTCTCCCTCAACATCTGGCTCTGCATCCTCCTCATCACCAGCATCTTCATCAACCTCCTCATCTGCCATCCGAACAGGTGCATTGGAGACCACTGCGGTCTCCAGGGTTCCTTGGTTTCCACCAGCTCCATGTCCATCTCCATCTTCATCCTCATGATCTTCATCCTCATGCGCTGCTGCAGGCCTTACGACCGAGCTCCTCACTGCGGCGGAATTCCCGCGAGCCGACCTGGACAAGTCGAAGATCAAGGGCACGGGCAGCTCGGTTCGAAGACGTAACCGTTGCAACGATTCGAATGGGATTCAATTGATTGATCATATTTTGTTATGATAAGAATAGACAAATAACATGTATGTATTTTGTATGAATCCTTTGACTATGTCATCTTGTTTGGTCTTGGCTTCTTCCAGCAGAGGAACTTCTGTGAATCAGCCGCTTGGTCTGCCTTTCCAAGGGCCTGGTGTGAGGACTTGGCACCGACGAAAGCCGGTCAGACGAGTGTTCGTTCGTTCAGACGAGCGTTTTTCAGCCGGCCTGCTCCTTGGCGGCCAATGCTCTGGCATTGCCAAAGTGAGCATCCGCGCCCTTGGATCGAAAGCGTGGACCGGTCTCAATGCGAACCCAACACCGTGGGGCGTCCTCACCGCGAAAAAAGGTCCAACACCGTGGGGCCCCGTTGCAACACCCGACACATCGGGCCGGTGGAGTCCCGGAGTCGCGCCCGAACTCTGGGGTCGAGGCTTTCCGTTTGGCACGAGGATCTTCGCCTGGATCCGTTAGTCTTGGGACATGCCGTGGCTCAAATCCAACGATCGTCACCCAAAAACCGCAGCCGTCCGCACCTTCTCTTTTGCGGGCCGCCTTGGCTTTGGCGTTCTCCGCCAACTTCACTTTGGCACCTGTCCAAGGTCGACGCCGCCCGGTGCCTTCGTTTTCCGAGACGGGGCGACGCAGGCGCCGCGACGGCGCCTCCAGCGGCCAAGTCCTGCGATCCGCGCGGTGCACCGGACGGGCCCGGTCCCCACATGGGACGCCAGGACAGACGGACCCCATCGGACCCCCAAGCACGAAGGTCGTGCTGTGCCACGAGCTAAGCACCACTGGCGACAAGAGAAATACTGTCTTGTTTACAAGTTTACACTTGGTAGCCAGTCTTACAGTTAGCTGCTAGCTGATCCTCCTTTTTGTCCTGCTACTCGGCGGTGTGCTTTTTGCATGGGTGCAAGCACGAAGAAAACACTGCCTGTTTGCCTGTTCCAGCTGGATGGGAACCTCTGGTATTCTACCACAACCTTTTGTTGGAAGCTCACAAACACCTTCCCGCATGAAAGCCGGGAAACCTACAGGAAGCTCCCAGCAGTACCCAGCAGAGCTTCCTGAAGCTGCATGTTTGAAACCAAAGTCAGTCGCAGAAATCGAACCCAAAACAACCCTCTCTGCAAAAGCACGGAGCACATCAACTCCAAACGACTTCGAAGGTACAGTCCCCGCCACCGGCAGCACGGGCCGCTTTGTCAGCACGTTGGCGGCGCTGGCCGAAAAACGAGTGGCACAGCACTCAAGAGTCATCGACACGAACCTGAATGTTTTGCACGGTCAGTTTGCATCTGCTCAAGGCCTTCTTCTCTTTGGCTGCCGCGTGTTTCTTGTCCCAATCATTGTGGGCCTGCGACAATACTCAATGCGAGTGCCAACTGGCCGCAATCTCTTTTTCTACTGCTGTCATTGAAGATATGCGCACCGGGCATCTTGCATGCTTCATGTTTTTCATACGAGTGTCTCCAAGGGATCAGAATTGCAATAATCAGGATTGGGGAGAAGCATTGCACCAGAAACATCCAGCACACGGCCACAACTTGAGACATATCATCAGAAACATCACTGTGCATTAGAATGGGGAGACCGGTTTTAGTCTAGTCTTCCTCTTCAAGCGCATCTTTGGGGGAATCCACTTATATAAGCTTTTGGCATGGCAGCACCAATATCAACACCATAGTACCAACCTGGACAGCAATATATAGTTTCAAAAAAATGCCCATAACAGCAAATGCACCACCGACAGTTCTATCACGTTGATTTCTCAAAATCGACAGCAAGGAGTCAGATCATCTCCGCAAGCTGGCCACTTCTGACTTGATCAGCCCATACCGTGGACGGGTCTAGGATTCGGAGAGGGAGCCTCGTCGGCCTACTCACCGATCCACCGATCGGATGGGGCCTGCCGAAATCGATCGAGACGCCCGGCAGATCTGATATCACCTCCTGCCTCTCCTTCGGAAAAGTCCGGTCAGCTCATGACCAGCTCCAGTCATCCTCTTAGAAAAACTCACCCGTCGCGGGTACCTCCGTATTGGGACGTACTCACCTAGTATCGATTTGTTGGGACGAAACTTCTTTTGCAGAGCCCAACTTCCAGGAATGCCTCACCCATCCGGCTGTCGCCTTTTCAAAGGCCTCACCCATCCGGATCATCGCATCGGTGATCCAATCTCTGTCAGCCTCAACAAAAATGGTGTATGCATAAGGGAGACCCTCCCACCTTCCTGGTGGAATTTTTTGGAAGGAACTGAACTGCACACACCACTGTGCTGTTCTTGCCTTGACTGAAAGGCTGACCCTTTCCATTAAATCCCTTGCACCTTGCAGACCAGGCAAAGCAAAGCCAGAAAAGACTTACTTGCATGTTATAACTATAGATACTAGTTTCATTCTGTCACGACCCTGAAAGCAAATGCGCTCTACTCAGAACAATTCTGCTCTGCTCTGCATGGTGGCCTTCTTTGGCTCCTCGAGCAGCGCAGTTTGGGGTCCACATGAACTCGTACGCCATCACCTGCCCGGACGGAAGCGTCGCTGGCGAAGCTTCGCTGGCGAACCGCGCAAGGAAAACCGCGCATCTGCGCCGGACCCGCAGAATGCTGAGGACCAGAGGGCTTTTGGCGGTGACCATCTTTAGCTCCTCGCCAGGGTTCATAACACCTGGCAGCTGCAGAATCACGGTGCACTGGCTCTTTTTGTGCAGCTCACTAAGCATTGGGCGCAACAAACGATCAATGTCCCAGAGGGTACGAAGGATTCCCCTGAAAAGTTCAGCAACAGACGATGTGTTGTGGTGAGAATGTTCAGATGTTGCTCGTGTGTGGCGAAAAACTGGCCTTAAGAATATCTCGGAGGTCAGTCGCGGTGTGATGCGGTACTTCACTTTGGCATCATACTGCAGGGCAATGCATCTTCAGTGTCTTAAACAGTTTGATGCCTTGAACTTCTGAACTTCTCATCCCTTCCTCCAAAAACCGTGAGAGGAACTCTTCCATGTCAGCTGCTGAGATGGTCTTTTGGTCATCCCAGCTTAGCAAGAGGTTCACAGCCAAGATCCAATCCTTTCACAACCGAATTCTAAACGGACAGAGGTCAAGCTGCAAAGTCTGAACTTCGAACTGAAGGTCCTCAAGCCGCAAGCGATACTTCTTGCTGCGTTCAGGATCTGGTCTCTTCCAGCCATCATCCTCTTCCTGATGTCTCACAGCTCAATCTAGACCAATGACTAATCTAGGCACCAAATCCAGAAACTAAAGATGGAAGGGATCTCAATAATCAAGTCATGTTTGGGAGTTTGAGCCATCTGCATCTACTCCTTCAGCCAGCCACTCTAAATCTCGATTATATCAGTTCTTTCGAGCTGATCTGCTCACCAGCCATTCTCAGGCTCCCATGAGCTCTGGACACGTTCAGATCTTCTGCCATCATATCTCCGGCGAGGTCCAAACCTTAGACCAACCAACAGCCGAAACGGCCGGCCGCTGCCGCTGTTCAGCAGTGGTGCAAAGGTCCACAGTGGTCAGTGACCACGTCTGTCGAAAGCACCGAACGGTACATCGTCGCCGGCATTGGAGACAATCTGCTCTTTCGCGAACACACTCTCGCTCTCACACACAAACAAATCAATAAAGGTGCTTTAGTGGGCTTTGCATGTGTGCCTTTTGTGGCATCATTGCTTCAACTTGAATGTGTCTTGTCTATTCCAAGTTACTCAGTCGTGTGTGTGTGTGTGTGCGGATTTTATCTAATTATATAACTATATATAACTTTATATGTATACAATTGCACACATACATACGTTATATACGTGATTATACGTGAAGAAATGCTGCTCCTTGGCACGATCAGGGCAACTGTTGCCGAAGAAATCACCATTTTCCTCTTGGCAGGACGTGTGCCAAGATAAACGAAATGAACCATTCACGTGTGTACACAGGGTCGGGTCAAAAGAACACTGCCCGCAGTATGTGGTTCTTTTGTGCGAGCTTCTGACGCTCTGAAGTGTGAAGGCCCCGACTTGCCGGCAGCTTCAAACGAGTGGGAAAAATCAAACCAAGAGCCGAGTCGGCAGCCGATGCCGTCCGTCGAAACATCCCACCGTTTTGAGCAGCAAACCCACAACTTCGTTGATAGCCGAAGGAAGTCACAAAGCAGAACGCAGCGGCCCGGAGAGTCTCCGCGGCGACTGGTTCTAACCAGTGTGTGGCGGTGTGGCGTTGTTCGGGCGCTTTGAAGATTTACCCAGTTCTTTCAGGCGGGTGCATACTAATACTGAAGAGCCTTGTCTCAGCAAGGAGGACCGGGGAGGCAAACATGTGAGCTGGAGGGAAATCAGCAAGGCAACATCTCCAGTCCCATGTCATTCTATCTCCTGGTTGGCTACCAGAAATGTCCATTTGTCCCCATGTAATCCTATGTATATTTTGATGTCAAGCCAATTTTGAAGGAAGGATCAAAAGGATACTGGTTCTAAAGTCCTCTAATACTGCTGTCACACCTCCAGAGCATTTGAAGAACCCTGAGCAGGACTCAGTTGCAGACTCTTCATCGCTGGCTCCCCGCCGGTTCGCACCAGCTGAGCATGACGACAGGTTCATGCAAGCATTCGTGAAAGTGCTCAAAAGTAAACGTAGAACTTTCCTAAAAGTCTTCAACTTCATGTCACATGTCTTGCGGGACAAACAAAGACCCTGGACTTCCGAGTTTCTATGCTTCAATCCACTCACTGACTCTTCTGGCGCAGTGGCAGTTTACTACCGCGCCTGCTGGAGTAAGCCTGGCCAAAGATGCAAAGCTTTGCACCGAAAACGTCGCCGGACGTCTTTCCTGGTGTTCTTCCGCCAAGCGTGTCGGCCAGGCGTCAGTCCAGAACCCCTGCGACCCCAACCCCCATCGTCCGGCGCCCTCAGCAAATTCACCACAGGGCTCACAGGTCGGTCTGGTCAGACGGCGAAGCTCAGCTGCCCGACACGACGCGCCGCCGTGGCAGCGCACCACGGAGTTGGGGCGCCGACCGGCCTCGGTGAAAACACCGCCGACTGCCCTCTCCGCGGTGCCGCGGAGCTTTAGTAGCTAGTAACAAGAAGCTACTAGTAGCAATTGCTTAGTCCCCCAAAGGCCTTGAGGTCGTCCTCGAGGACCTCAGCGTCGATTGAAGTGCCAAACGAAGACGCCAAACGACACACATGTCGACGACTGTCGACGACTGGACATTGAGAGCCACAGTGATTCGCACCCAGCAAGACGGTCACTTGTATGCAAGTATTGTTCGGGACACACCGATCTATCCCAAGAATCATGAGTGTGATCATCTGACATACTGTAGACTCTTGATAAAAAGAATAGAAAGAATCACCCCCCCATATCAAGAGGATCTTCAATTCAAATGGGTCGATGAAAACGATTTCTGCCAAATCAATCATGCCCGGCTGCCCGTTCCCAACGACCGACGACTTGGCTGCCGCACCTCGACGACTTGGACTTCGGCTGCCACGGCTGCGACTTCGGCTGCCACGGCCGGGCAAAATGACGCGTCGTTGTGGAGGACCTCACAACGGCGCGAAGAACAAGGCAGAGTAGGGCCAGTAGGGCAGAGTAGGGCCTGAGGGGCACAGTGGCAATGAAAAAAGAAAGGTTGCACAAAAGAAATTGCACTTTGAAAGTAGCAATCTGAGTTTTCTTTCAAACTCTGGTTCTGGTCCTTTTCTCTCGACACCACCGATCATTACTTAGCTGCTCACTTCGGCTCCTGCTCGTTCTTGCATCTCGATCGCGTTCAATCAGCCTTCCGCCGAAGCCGCTGCTGACATAAAGAAATGGAACCAACCTTTAAAACCACTGCCTGGATGACTGCCGTCGCACCTGGGCATTTGTTTCAATACTGCAACGCTTTGTCACTGAAGCTCCATTTCGTTGTTTCCATTTGCTTTCAGTAGGTTGTGAAATTGGTCGTGATGATTTACCCAAAAAAAACTCCATGGGTTCTCACCTGCACCTCAAAGCCTCAAAACCCATGGGTTTTCGTGGGAGACCCCGCCGGATCCCAGGCCGCTCCTCGTGCTCAAAAGCCCCAGCCCGGCCAACTGGGCCCCCCAACTTCCCGAGGTCGAGAGGGTGAGCGACTGTCACCCGGCATGTCCTTTTCGTCGAAAAGAAGAAAATAAAGAACATAAAACACAAAATAATATAACTTATCTTATTGTAAAATATTGTAATTACATAACATGATATATATATATATGAATGCAAGTTGAGGTAGACTTTTGGGAGGGGGACCATATACTCCACGAAGCAAAGACCGGAGTTGCGCGAAAAGTTCCGAAACTCGGACGACCGGTGAAGTGACAACCGCTTCGGGCGGTTTGCCGCTTCGGGCGGAACATGAACAGGTGCCAACAAAAGACTGGTCGTTGGCCCCAGGTTCAATTTTCAGAGTGACATAGTCATGTCATGACATGATGGATACTCCGCCGCTCCTCATCCCATTCTGTGCTTCGCCGTCGCTTGCCCAAGCCCGCTCGGTCCGCTCGGGGCGGCGGCGGGAGCCGGGCCATGGCCTCCTCACTCCGATGCCAGCGATGTTTCGCATGTGCTGCAAAGCGCAAAAAACACCCAAGACCACGGATTCAGATATTGGTTGATATGATTTTAACGACACATTCTACACATGCTTGAAGCATGGAATTCTGAGCTGCAACTTTTTCGCACCCATAAAAAGCTGAAGTGAGGGTGTGAGCCTTCGAGCCATCTTTGAGGGTTCATAGTGCATATTGTCTGCAGAACCACTGTGCAGAGTTTTCTCCAATTAATACTGAGGGTACTCTTGAATCTTGGTGGCCTTCAGCCACTATGTTTGAGCAAATGCTGAAACAGCTCAGTCGTTGCCAGAAGCAAAAACAGCTCAGTCGTTGCTCAGTCGAGACCGATTCGACAGACTGCGGATGGCCAGTGGTTGTCACCGTGGAGGCAGCGATCATGGGAAAGGGTGAGACATATCTTGAAAGCGTGAGACGTGAAACTCCAAATTCCCTCAAACTTCGGAGGCATGTTGACTGCCCAAGGAACATGCCGAGGAAGCACCAGCACCCAGCACCGAGCTCGGACCGAATAGCTGGGTGTGCTTTCTGGGCAAGCTCAGAAATACCTGGGTGCCAGAAACTCAGGACGCCTTCCAAACTGGGGATTTGGTTCTTGGTGAGGGTTCTGTTTGAGGGTTCTTCTAGCCACACCCGCCTTAAGACTTGTCTGTCGCCTCCACGTTGAGAAGCCTCAAAGCGTGGCACAGAGGGGAAAGGACATGTCGTGCCTTTGAGCAGCAGGTCCTGAGGGCTTCTTCGGCCCTTTTCCGCGCGTGCTCCTCAAGGTCAAGGAAGGCAATGTATTGGGGAGTAGATATATATATATATATACAAAGTAAACTGCCAGTGCGAGCTGCAACAGGCTGCAACTGATACCCCGGCTGTCTTCTTCATTCTCGATCAATCCTGTTTGCAACCTATCCTTTGTTGCCAATTTGCTGTGGTTCTTATCCTTTGTCTGAGAACCCGCGTTGCGCCATGCACTCGATACGAGGTCGCTCTTGGACCAGACAAGTAGCAGCACTTTGGTCACAAAAGTATCTTTTTGTGCAGCATAACTGTTGGACCTTCTCACAAGGCCTCGTCACAAGCGAATTCCATTGTGCAACCCAATTGAACGTAAACTACCCACAATCTTCCTCATGCGGTGTGATGGACATCTTTCCAGACCTCCAGCCATGAACCGAGACTGACCGGGAAGGAACCACTTTGTCACATCGATGATCTCCACAGCGTTGTGGAGATCATCGGTTGCCATGTCCTCTCATCTCACTCCAACCTTGCCCTGTCCTCTGAAAGTAGCTGCTCTTGCAATGGCTTCACAACCTTCCGAACCAGCACGCTGTGTTTTTTCGTGCTCAAAAATGGTCGATCGAAGGTCACCATGCACCTCACTAGGGTATTGCTTTTTTCTAGCAAGAACAGGTCAGTGCAAGTGAGTTTGTGAAGTGGGAAGTGCTGAGAACAAAGGCAGCAACAATGACTAGCAGCCTAGCTTTGCTGGATAAAGGCCAAGCAGTCGCATGGCTGTAGGTCAGAACCCTTTGCTCCTTTCTCCAGCTGAACAAAAGAGTCTACTTGGACATGTTCTCACACCCGATAACTTCTGTTTCTTTCAACTCACTCCTACATGACCTGTCTGCCTCCAACCTTCCTACGTTCAAGTCTTCGCCTTAGCGACCTCTTCCTGCACTGCTTTCTCGACCTGGCACAACACAGACCGCGTTCATTCGTTGGGCCCGTCAGCTTCGCTCCAAGCAAACCTCCAACCACAACGAAGAGGTGGCACTAAAGGACGATGAGCTGCGAAGTGAGGGTGTCCGTTGCCTTTGCCTCGTGCGGTGTTTGTCCCAACAAATGCCACGCGAAGGAGAAACGTTTTTTGGTCGACGGGCCCCATCACCCACCAGAAGAGTTCAAACCAAGGAGGCGGCTGATCATTGAAGAACAGCAAGTTATGCTCGGCTCCACTGTGCCTTGAGTCGGAGTCTGAGACGCACACAAACAAGCTCAGCCAAGGTGTTTCTAAGGTTGGCGCTGGCCAGTAGCAGGGCGAGATCTCCTGCTTCCACCGGATCTGCTTGAGAAGATAGCACCAGTTGCAGGACCATTCTCGAGCTCTGCATTCTCTTGCCTGAATTGACGGGAAAGCAGAAGCTCACGGCAAGCCAACAAAAAGCTGCCGACTAGGACACCCCAAAATAGGCCATGCCAACTTGCAAGATCTTGCCACAGCGCCAACGGCCCACACGGCTAACCCTAGGCCCCACACAGCACGAGTCCAGAAAAGGATCCCAACGGCCGCCGAGCTCGCTCGCGTTGACTCGGCGTCCTGGGCGCGTTGTTTCGTCCGTCCGGTTCGCGTGCCTGGACCGTCCGGTTCCCGCCTCGAGGAAGCGCGGGAGGGCGGCAAAGCCTTGGCTCCGGCTCCACGGTGCGACGGTGTGGCTCGGCTCGAGAACAAGGCATTTCACTTCCTCAAGCTGCTGACGGGCAAAGAATTCGACTGGTAGAGCCGATCAAAAATCACCTGGCTCCGACTGCGGCTCAGACGGGGCATCGACCAAGCCAACCCCCCCATCCGAGCCACCCGACTTTCGTCACGTCATCGACGCTGGGCGCTGGTGGCGCTTTGGGCGCAAGGATTTCTGCACCTCCTTTTCGTCCGTAGTACCTTCGGGTGAATGGGCTGATGGTGGGCTGATGGTGTGTTTGGGCACCCGAACTGACCCGGCAGCTTTTTGGAGGAGTTGCTGAGGGCGGTACCAAAGTGTGCCTTTTTGTCTGGCCTTTCTCTCTTTGCCCAAATGCTGCCTTTGAGAGACTCAAAGTTGTCCCGTTGAGAGATCGCTACAATTCGCTAAGGCTTCAAAGTCTCCTTCATGTCGTCAAATCCGTTTCGACCAAACATCAAGCCCTCGACTGCCAGGCACCATGCTGTGCCGCAAAGTTGTCCATTGCAAATTCTACGCGATCCCAGTTGAGCCACACCAAGAGCATTCCAAAAAATTCCAACTCATTCAAACCCTTTTTGTTCTTCAGAGTATGGAGGAGTGTCCAAAAGAAATTCCCATCGAATTCCTCAACATTCCACATGACAAAAGTCCCTTTGGCGTCCTTCCGTGCAGCACGTGGGCGTTGTTCTTTTCTTTTCTTCTTTCCACCATCCGCCCTTGAGGCCCATGTGGTAAAACGAGAAAATGAGCGGAGAGTTTTCTCCTTCAGAGTATTCTCTCCAAAAAAGCTATGAAACACAAGAAGAGCGCAACACAACTAGCGTCAGATACAGCTTCCATGAAGGCCCGAATCCTGTCATCTTTCAAACAGCTGAAAAGAATCGCCTGACCAATGTTCCAGAAAGCCGAGGTGTTCCAAATGTCACAGGTCGCAAAAAAACATGCCAGGCATGGCAGCGAAGACGTTTTCCGTCCCGGAAAGCTCTCACGTACTGAGATGTTTCAGTCAAGAAACAGCACTGCCAACTCATGTACAGATGAACACGGGTGTGTATCAAAATAGGGAGACCTCCAACGCAACCCCTGGAAGGTTCTGGAAAGAGGCCAAAGACAATTGATTGCGGGTCTCAGCTCTCCCTATTCAAGTACACTCCCACATGTTTGGGAATGGAGAAAATCCTTCCGTCCTGATGGTCCGTTCGATCCAGGTGTCGGGACCCTCCTGACAGAAGGACACAAGAAGGGAAGTGACGGAAGTTCGGGAAGACACAGTGCCCAGTTTGAAGAGCTCTCCGAAATGTCAAGTAGGCCATCGCCAGTAGGTTGAAGGCCATCGCTAGTAGGTTGGAGGCCATTGCTATTTTGCTATTAGGTTGGAGGCCATTGCTATTAGGAACTCTCCGAGATGTAGAGTATCAAAATGAAAACTTCACCGGATGTACTTTAAGTCCTGCCTCCACGATATGCTCTCAAGTCTGGCAAGGAGGGGCTTCCAGGAGGGACATAGGGCCTGTGTTTTGCAGGTCATTGGGCTTTTCAGTTTTGGCTGCCATATTTGTTGCCATGTGCAGCAACTACCATAAGCCTAGTAAATAACATCTTAGAGAGGGACAAGGAGAGGGAAGGGAAGAGCTTGCGCTTCTAAAGATATCCTTAGTCTGGCACTTTGCGCTGGGCACTGTTCTATCATCAAGCTTGTACCTGCTCAAGATCCAGTCGATTCAGAACCAGCATTCCACATGAAGTTCATCCTGAAAAGCGCACTGATGTTTCTTATCTGTCGTCTGGTACAGCTTCGTCACACTCTGCCCATAGGGCCAGAAGCGAGACCTCAGGACAGAAGCGACACCTAAAAGCTCTAAAATCCATGCCAAACCTCAGACGAAGTCGTCGAACGCGGCCCGTCGCCGTCTCGGATTGCAGACGACGTCGTCTCCAGGGTCACGTTGGGCATCGGAGCCTGGACGGTTCGTTGGACCCGCGCGGCGAGGAGCCGATCCCGGACCGGACGGACCTGAAGACCGGCTTCAAACCACTCGCCATAGCTGCGGTAGAGTCGGATTGGAGCCTAAGACCGGCACTGAGAACAGGGAGATAGGAAACAAAATAGAAAGCAAGACTTGCCATGCAGAACTCTGGAATATGTCGTTTTTGATACAACATATAATTACTATAAACAATATATATATATACATATGATACCAGGTGAAGTTCATGTGCCACGTGATCTCCTTCAATCCTCCCGGGCCCACACATGCCGATCATCGCAGGGCTTCAGGTGGCCCACCTGCGCGGTTTCTTTCCACGTGTGCCCCACGCGTCGCGCGTCGGGACGACCCGCTGCTCCGATATTTGCAGTGGACCATCTTTTTTGGGAGGATGTTTCCATGCAATGTGAATGCCCAGAGGCTTTTGACACATCCTGCTCCAAACCCGGACAAAAATCCCACCGTATCAAGGCGGCATTTTCCAATCGCAGTGCTCGTTGTGTAGAACTCCCTGGCAAGAGGATTTGACAAGGTAATCCCAGCGTCTTAAGGAATCTGGAGTGTCAAGCCAACATCAAGCTCAAGACAAAAGACCAATCCCAGGTATTACCATCACTGGCCAGCAGTGCTCCATGTTTCTGACATAGCCAGGATCTGGCTGGAAGTCGAAGCGCCCCAAAGTTTGCCATGGACCTTTGCTTTCGCTACTCTCCTTTTCGCTTCAATCTTCCAAAGATTCTCAAGATCAACAGTATTTCGCTGGCATCAACAGTCAGAGCTCGTCCTTTTCTAAGAGCAGCGCTTGCCATGGTCCCAACTTGGGCAAGTTCCCAATCAACAAAAACGCTGCGAAAGGTGCGAAAGGTTTTTAGACAAAGGATGTTTACCTCACAAGACTGCGAGAGTCGCCAAAATCAAAGGTCCAACATGGCCGATGAGGTGTTTCTCCGAGTGTCGAGTTCTTTTTTAGCGGAACTCCTTTTGTCGCACATGGCCGTGTCTGGCCATTTTTTTCAACCAGGAACTGAGCGCTTTTTGAGACGCGTCCTTCCGGATCTTCAAACCGTGTATTTCGGGAGGCTGGCTGGAGTCCTCTTCCTTCGGGGGCCTCGCACGGGCACCAGGAACTGAGAAACTCTCTGGCACAGCCGGTGCCGGTTGATTTGGTCGGTCTCGCACGGGGAAGTGGAAAAACAAGAAAAGAAGTTGACATCACGAACGAAAAGGGATAGTAGCCCACCAACACCAACCACAGGATTGACGAATGTTGCCTTCAGCAAGATGTCACGTATCTTTTGTCTTCTCAGATGAGATTGAAAGCAAGAAAGCCGAGGTCAACATGATTCTGTGCTTTTCACTGAACAAAACCAAAGGACCAAAGGTCTTCCCAAACCGGACACATCCGGATCGAACTCGGAACATCCAACCGGTCACATTCGGTGTTTTTCGGCTCTGAGGTCCGGCACAAAAGCGGGCTTCCAAGTCCAAGCACATGAGCTGGGTGGGCGATACCCCAACACGTACAAACCTCAGAATCCGCCAACGGAGGCCATCGCTAGTAGGTGATCAACTGACATCAAAGCCACCTTCGCCAGGATTGACTCATGGCTTCAAGGGACAAAAAAAACGAAAAGAACACTCTTGCAGAATGTTCGTGCTATGCGAACTGTGGCCTTGCTCGAATAAGCTTCAGGCAGAATGGCAACAGCTCCAACAGCAATTACAAGAAATGCAATGGAGAAGATCAGCAGCCTTGGTCATTCAAGTGAAATTAATCGTACAGAATCTCCACCGTCCCAGCTCTGCCACAGTGCTAATTCTTCGCAGCTGAACGCCTGAAACAATACCTTCACACAGTTTCTTTTGAGCCTCTGGCCCGGTCTTTTCCACTTCGCAAAGGCTGGGGGCCACCAGCCCAGAAGGCAAACGGCTTCCATCGCGAGTTGACATAATGGTCACAAGCTCAGCCTCAAAACCCAGCTTGTGCTTCTGGGAGTCAAAACCGCAACATCTCACTATGCTGGGTCAATCAGTGTCCAATCCCAACATGTCCCATCAGGTCTCTCGTCTTCAGGTCTCTCGTCTTCATTGGATCAATCTCAGTCTCTCAGGTGCCGCACCACAGGCCATCGGTCAGCAACAGTGGGAAACAGAGCGGAGGCTCCTGAAACAGCAATTCTCACAGCTTCTGTCAGGTCAGGCAGAACAACCTGCCTGGGATGCCCAACTCGGGAAACTTCACTAACCTGCAGCTCGTAAGGACCCAGCAAAAAAACAAAACGCTACCAAGCCTGTTACTCACACATGGTGATCCTCTCAGCTGCCGACCATTTGTGTGCTTCACCGGTGCATGTCTTCGACATGGGGTTCCACCGACCCACCCTCGAACAAGCGCGCAGAAAGCCACCGAAATGGCATCGACCCGCATCGACCGGCCTCTCCACCTGTGCCACCAATAGACCATTGACATCCTGTGCCATCACGCGAAAAGGCCACAGAGAAGGAAAGATCCAAAGCGAGCCAAGCGAGCGAAAAGGTGCGGTACCTGCCTCTATGTTGAAAGAACTCTGGAACAACCGAAGGTAGGGAGTGTGAGCGATCGTGCGACCTGCCTGGCCATGTTTTTCGTGCAAGAAGGGCCAGACAAGAAGACAACTATACTACTGTCTAATGACTTAGGCCAACGTGATGCAAGTGACATACCAATCTGGCTACCCCCAGGGCTAAGTCATGTGCCCGACATATCGAGCAAAAAAAATGTCTGGGTTGGGAAACCTGGTGTCATAGGACCTGTGGACACCTCCTCGACAAAAAATGTAAACAAACAGCTAAATAATGCTAGATACCACTGCCTGGCACTCTGGTGACACAGTGGTGACATAGGGCGCGACTATGTGTTGCTTCCTTGAATACCTCATACATATTTCTATGAATATCATGGTTGTGGCCTGATGACATAGGCCTCAAGAGGAAATGCCAATGTTGGATCAATCCTGATGACATAGGCTTTTGGAATTGGCGTGTATGTCCGACAAGTCCTAAGTTACTAGTCAGTAGTATAGTCGCGTGTCGAGTCACATGATCTCTGATGAGAAATTGCAAGAAGACTGACCCATCCTCAGTTGCGATAGGGGGTGCCATTTGTCATGTTCGGGTCTACAAATGTTCATGGTTGGTCTGTGTGATAAGCTGCAAATGTGAAGCTCAAAGCACAAGTCGGCTCTCCAAACGGGATTGAGATGGCCAAGAATAATTGCTAGGCACAACACGCAGGAGCCGTAGATCTCACAAGCGTGTGCATCCGGCTCGCCAGGCACGTGGTATACCTTCAATTCCGGTTGACATCTCCATGTTGTTTTCAAAATTCAAAGAATTTCAAGGCCTTCTCGTCCAAGAAGAAGCGTCTTGGTTGGCAAAAGCTTTCTTCAATCGCAGCCAGAAATATCTTTCTTAGGCATCTAGGCCGCTTGCGTATATCCAACGCAATCATTCAAGCGAAAGGTGTTCCCAGTTAAAGAAGGCACCTGAAGAACCGTCTTGAGAACCGTTTTGAGCACAAAACTGCAGCGCCTTGAGCAGCAGGACCGAGCAAAATAGCTTGAGCCGTTGGCTGGCTGGGTTGACCCAAAGACGCCACCGCTGGGAAGCGTGTAGGAGGTGATGGGAACCAAACCTTCAAGACTGTCAGAAGCTGAAGGTCCTCTTTGTCTACCAACTGGTGCATTTATTCAAGATTCCATATGATTCCATATGTTCATCACTATGTTCATTTGCCCAGTTGGCGCACGGACAATCAGGGTCATGCATCTGGACTTGCAAGGTTTCCCTGGACAGTCATGAAAAACGACCACGCCTCCTCCAAGCTTACTGCACTGCTGGGTCCAGGACATGACCAAAGGCACCTTGGCAGCCAAGATCCCGACCAAGGTGCCTCTGTCTGATATGACCAGCACTTGGTCTTCTGTGAAAAACATGTGGCCAACACCAAGCTAAGGCTTCTTCTCCATCAAATGAGGCTTCGGATGTTGTCCTGCACAAGGGCACATGAAACAACATGATCCCTCTTCAATTCTACATTTGCAATGCTGCAGTCCAGCTTCCAGTTGGCGAAAGAGTACAAGGGTTTGGCGTATCAATCTCCAATTTGCTGGGCCTTTGCTCAACACATACGACAACTCTCTGCAGCATCTCTGCCACCTGTGCCCCCCTTTGGTCAGTCATCTCAGCTTCGTGCCATTCATTTAAGACAGGACAAGGGTCCAGTGCAGGGTCTCCTCGAAAAACAAGCTCTTGAAACCAGGAAAGGCAGGTCTACAGAGTGGTGGAAGCTTCGATTGCGAACACTCACTCTCCTTTCCCTGGCAATACAGGAGAAGCAGCGCTGAATCCTCGGGGCACAGACTTACCAGCGTGCTCTGAGACAAAGAACAGTAGTCTCCGACTGCTCTGCAAGTAGGACTGCAAAGCCTGAGGCGTTGGATAGGATCTAAAAAATGCTTTGCTTTCCAACAGTTCTGCAATGTCCGACTTGAGCTGAATGCTGTGCAAAAAAGACTCCTGATTCAAACTTTCAAGACCTAAGAATATGGCTGTGCGGGTCGCATTTGCAGCACCCCCGAAGTTGAAGGGTCTTGGAGCTTGCAAGGCTCAAGGTGTCTTTGTAAAAAAAATACAAAAATGTGAGTGGTACACTTCAGCTTTTAAAAATCCAAGCCAAGAACTCTGTGATGCTGACCTGAACACAACAAGCAATGGCTCTGAAGCTTGTTGCAAAGCTGAAATAGAGGATGCCTCTTCATGGGCCATTGCGCTGGCAGCCAGCGCAAAGCCTATTGTGCGAATCATGCCTGGAGTGCTCCAGCACCTCCTGCAGCCCATCAAACACTCATCGATCACCCATCAAACACGCATCCGTTCGAGCATCTGCGTCCGCTCCTCGGCTCCACTGGACTTCATTGATGACTGATGTTCTTTGAGCCAAACGCGTCGTGACAAACACACACACAAAAAAAAAAACACAAAGTCACTGTCACAGCTTCAAAAACATAGCACCTCTCTCGTTTGAGAAACATCAACAGAGTCTCATCTTCTTCCACTGGCCGGCAGGATCGCCCTCCTTTTTTCGTTGTTGCGCGTCAGGGTGAAAATGGAAATCCGGAGAATGTCGGCCATTTCGTTGGCCACTTGGATCACAAAGTGGAGCCATATCAAGAGCAGCAAAGTGGTTGCTATCCAAAGAGAACCTCTTTTTAGGATGTAGTCTGCCAACAGGCACGCCAAAACGGTCAAGGTCCAACGCCAAGGTTTGTACCTTTCCCCGCACACGTTCGCAAGCTGAAGAGCGGACCTCGGAACAAAAGAATGTAAAAATAGGAATCCGAACAGTCAGGTCCGGGCCATCAGCCGCGACCGGAATGACTTAACACGAGATGAGATCGACTGCGAGACAAACCAAACGCTGCTGCCAGGGTGCACAAGGATCAGGAAGCAAAACCCGAGGAACCACAGGGATAGTCTGGTATTTGTTTCAGTTGGGTGCAGAGGGCCAAGCATCCAATACCCAAAGAGAAGATGCAGCAAGAATGGTATTGTCAAGGATAGGCCAGCACCCAAGTGCCGACTGGAGCTGAGCTTTTGCTGGACTGAATAGATATTGGCCGAGACTGTGAAGAATACGCAAACTAAATAGAAAAAGATCATGCACTCTGCTCGTGACATGCCAAGAACACATTGCCCACTCCAGAAACCAGGGCTGGACAAGGCTGTGACCACATAGGACGCGCACACAATCAACACCCCGTCGGTCGGGCCATTGAACAGGCCCAAGTACAGCGAGCCGGTAAAATGTTCTTCCCAGGTCGCAAAAAAAGAATGGGGTGGATGTTGCAGTCCAGATGGCCAGGGTGGCCCAGCAGGTCTCTCGTTGGCCAAGCTGCAGCAAAGCCATCGCATTCTGCGAGGTTAGAATGATATTCAGGGCATCGGCCCCGTGGTCAATGAACAAACCCAGGGCGGAGGAACTGTTCGTTCTTCTGGCTTGTTTGCCATCAATATTGTCCAGGGTCTGGTATGCAAACGTACAAGCAGCCAAAACCAGCCAAAGCCAGGAAGGACATGGTTCCTTGAAAGTAGGTGCATAAATATGAACGAGAATGTATCCAGCAATGGAAAATGCCAGACCCAAAAATGTAATTGTGTTTGGGGCCAGCCATGTGGGCATGAGCCTGACCAAAGCATCTGCCAGCGGTGAACAGAAATAGGTATACATCAAAGAATTGTCACTGCCAGTGTACTTGTATTGGGGCAATTGTTTCCGACCTAGGTCTGATATATACCGAAAACCACTGCCAGAGCTCTCCTCGTTGTCATTTTCCTTTGATGTTGGATTCATGGGAAACTGGAGGTTCAGCAAAGGATGTCACCTGCCATAGCTCACGCGAATGCTCTTTACTGCGCTTACACAGACATGATGCTGTCAACAACTAGGACTCGGACCTACTTGCATTAATACAGGTACACAATGTGTTTAGATAACGCTCTCAAAGAAGCTTTGTTCTTGACCTTTTCAAAAGATGTTTTGTGTTGTCAAGTTGCCTGAGCCTAACAGCTTGGAATTTGGTCGTCAGCAAACATCACGTTCATCACACCGCGTCCCATCCCCTTGATCTCTGGACGAACCGCATTCTTCTCATGGCCTTTGATCCGTCCAAATTCTTCTCTCATGTGATGCAAGGCCCGTTGGTGGAACCACCAGGCACGTCGCACCTGTCACCAACTGAGCAGTGACGTTTGTGCAACACAAACAAACTCACAGCTTCACCTTAACAGCATGCCCCAATTGAAATTTACAGGTTCGATGTTGCAATGTGTGACCACTCTTTAGATGTCAATCTAAATTTTGTCAATGTGACCAGCGTTGTAAACTGTAAACGTTGGAAAGGCATGGTATACGTGTGAAACACGGTGTTTTGAAACCATCAGAAATGCACTTGCTGCCAAAATGTGCAAAGCGCGCGACCTCTTCCCAAATTGGTTTGGATTTTGAAGTATCCTGGTACACTTCTTGGTTTGTGCTGTGCTTTGTGTGGGTGACTCTCATGTGGATCCTGCTGATATTCTAAGAAACCCCCGCATCGCACATATGGTGCGGTGCATAGTTGTAAATGGTGTTCTTGGCTGACATCCGCACATTCGTGACTGAATGCAGAACCTTCAGTGTGGGGGGTTCGACACACTATGCACCTGTTCAATCATCTTTGCAATGCTCTTGTCAGCCAGCTAATTCAATTTTTGATTTTTTTTCATCTCTCTGAGCACGTACTTCGTTCTCGAAGTTTCAACGTACATCTTTTGTTTGCAGTTGTAACTTGCAAGAAGTAATGAGGTGCACCCAACAGCAAGCAAACCAAGGAACTCTCGAAGTTTCCGAGCAGCAAAAGGTACACGAGGTCCTTTTCAAGGCTTCCGATGGCTTCGTGGTCGACGCCCACCCTCTGTGGGCAAACAGGTGATTCGAGCACAAGTATCGGTCGATCGATACATGCCGATGTGGCTCAAGTCTATGAAACTTGCACAGGGAAAAGAAAGGTGAAAAACAAGTGTGGAGCAAGTCAACCCACAATCACACTTTCATAGCTCGTTTGGCCGATGTGATCCCTAAGATCTTCCAGCAGTGTCGTGTCAGGCCGTTGACCTTGGAACGGAGGTGGTACCACAGCGCACCATGTGCACGGTCGCTTGTTCTCCACGTTGCGGGCGGTGGCAAGTCCATGGCAATCATGTTGTAGATGCCACACATTGCCATGTGGGGACATGAAGACATCTGCCCTGTCGTTGAGTGGGCAGTCCCATAGGTGACCCTCGATCTTCCCGAGAGCTCGATTCAGCAGAGCTCTGGCATTGGAGCTTTCAGCATCGTTGTGTTCTGCTTGTTCAAGCTCCACCTTGTAGACCTCCATGGTGTCCATGAGATCTTTCTTCTCCTTTTCGTGGGCCATCTTGGCGTCGATCAGCTCTTGAAGAGCCTTGGCCATGTCGGTGTCAGTGTCCCACCATTTCTTCCTCCACTTTTCTGCCTCCTCAGTGAGGTTGGTGATTTCTGCTTGCATGGCCAACTTTTGGAGTCGACTGGCGCGCTTGCCGTAGAGGTAGCCGAGAATCGTGCCAAAGAGCATGCACAGAGCGGCCAACATGTACAGGATGCACCAACCCATAGAGTTGATGAAGTCACCGTCAACAACTTTCGTGCCTGTGTCATTCACAAGGACTTCATTGGCGTCGCCGTTGTTGGCCACTAACGCTGTTTCACCTAGCGCTGTTTTGTTCAAGGTGAAGGCCATCATAGCGAAGAGGATTCGCTGCACATATTTTGGCGTTGCCATAGGTCTCGTTGTTGTCGATGTAGGCTCCTCTTCATCAACCATCCATTCATGATCATCATCATCATCATCATCATCATCATCTTGCTTGTGTTGTGTGTGGTTGTTGGTTGACTGTTGTGTGGATTGTGGTTCTGTTGCCCCACTACAACGCTTTGAGAACTCAAGTTTGTTCGCTTCTCGATCTTTGGCTGTCTTGTTCTTGGCAGCCACATAGTCCGGGTCGTAGATGAACTTGATCTGACCACGCCGTAGGCGGTCTGCAAGCAGGCTTCTGGTTTGGTTTTTCGTTAAGCCGTCTGCAAATTGCCTGTCGCTGGAGATCCAGCGTAGCTCACCATGTAGGGACATGATCTGTTCCTTCATGACCCTGATTTCCAAAGATCTCCTTCTATCAACTCAGGTCGAACCGGAACAGCCCTCCTTGTGGTAGCTGTCGTACAATGCTTTTGCATCTGTGATGAGGATCGGCTTCAATGCTGTTCCACCCTGCAGGATTTCGCGAAGGCTTTTCTGTGGATTCAGGAGGCTTTCAAGAAAGCCGCATGCATACTCGGTGGAGTCCGAGGCCTGTCCAGCAGCTTGCGCTTCTGCAGCTAATGAGCTTCGAGCCACACGTGGAAGCTTGTATGATGTGGTAGCTAAGCTCCTTTTCAAAAGCATCCTGATGGACTAGCATCGTGATGTAGCCGCCTTGTGAGGTACCGTCTGGCCTCACTCCATCATGGTGACCAGTCGCAATTCGCTGAAGTCCTTCATGGGGATTGGAGCATAGTTCAAGTTGATGTAGGCGTTCCGCTGTGCGAACCTGAGCAATGAGTTTGCATCAACTATCGCTTGCAACTTGTTTGTCCGCACGAGTATGGCTGCCAGTCATCGCAAAAAAATGCGAAGGTCAGCTACTGAAAAGATTGAAGATTTCCTGTGGTCAAACCCAAAAACACCAAACCAACCAAACACAAAACACAAACAAAACACCCCAAAAAAAACACCGCACAAAACCGACCAGAATCCAAGAAGGGGCCCAGTCAGACACGGCGGCGGTAAGCGAGGGAAAGGTCCTAAGGTAGCATAAGTTCCGTCCAGATGAGCGGTGTAAGGACTTCCTCACTGTCACGACCCTCGTCTCTCAGAAATACACGGCCTCATTTTTTTTCCAGGAGTTCACCCCTCTCAGCGCCAGATCCAAGAAGGGGCCCAGATGACCAGGAATCCAAGACCAGGAAATCTTCTTCTCTCTCGGAGGTTTTTCCTCAATGCACTTGAATTAATTCAGTGTGAAACGAAGCTGGGCGTGTGATGAATTGCTACGGAAGCAGCTCCAGCTTGTGCAACTCATAGAATGTCGGTTCACCGTGCGAAAGGCGTATGTCGCGACAACTTGTGGGATCGAGGAGTTCACCAAGTGCCAAGGCCACGATGTAATGGTGTTGCTTTGGAAAGCAAGATGGTCTGCCTGTAAAGTCT